AATTCCAGTCAAAAAGTATAACAGAAATGAAAGTTCCTAAATAGACTCAAAAGCAGAATTGAGATGACTGAATTAGCAAACTTGAGGAGAGATGACAAAAAGAAAAGGATCTAGTCTGAAAAACTAGATAATATTGAAGAGAAATGTCCAGATCTTCAAAGACCCAGGCCTCACAGTAAGAATATCAATATACATGTGAGCCCCAGAAGAAAAGAATGAGGCAGAAAAATTAATTGAAGGAATAGCCAAAAAAAGTGAATTAGATGAAAACATTAATCTACAAATCCCTGAGGCTCAAAAAACCCTAAGCAGGATAAACACAAACAAAAGGCATACTAGATATCATGTTCACCATTGAAAATAAAAGAAAATCTTGAAAGGAGGAGGAGGAAAACAAATACCACAAATAGGAGAATATGATTAGCTGCTAATCTCTCATCAGCAACAATGGTAACCATAAGGAGGACATGTTCAAAATGCTGGAGGGAAAAAAAAATCAATCAAGAATTCTAAATTTAGTTAACACTGCTCTTCAAATATAAATTGAAATGTATTCCAAAACAAAGACAGAATTTGTTGCTGGCATGCTTGCCTGACATGGAACACTAAAGCAAGTCATTCAGATGAAAGGAAATCACAGTATAGTAACTTGAATCCATGGCGGGGAAATGAAAAGCAGCAGCAGTGGTAAATATGTAGAAAACATAAAGAGCCTGGCAAGATGGCTGCAGAGCGAAGATGCTGAACATTCCCCTCCAGACACTAACAATAAAACGGAAGCAAAACAAACCCAAAAGCCCTGAGGGAAAAACTAATTATCGGACCTACTGAAAGGGAAGGAAAAATTAAGTGAACTTTGCTTAACATAATAACAGGGCAATACAATCCACAAGAGGGAAGAGTGGCTGCAGCGCAACTACTGACTTGGGCACAAGCCAACATCAGGCCTACAACACTGCCCTGGACAAGGGGCTGCATGTGCAGTCACCCAGGATGGAGAATGCATTGTGGGAAGGCTAGGCGGTGAGGGCACAGAGCAAGGCCTACTGGCTTGAATTGGAGACACTTAACACGGAAGAGCTGTAGCCTGAACCAGGTTAGAGCATCCAGACTTCTTTACAAAAGAGATTACTACTGCAGTCAGGGCTGAGATATATGATACCCCTGTCACTCCGCATCCCAGGCAGAGATATCTAAAACATGTGCAACCCCACACAAAGAAATGTTTTACCACAGGAATTTCAAATTTCTGTGTCCACTAGAAGGGATTTTTTGATGCCTGTTGCCCAGGTTCTCTTTAATACCTCCTACCCCTTGCTGATACCAGTATTCTAAAAAGGACAATAGTTGAAAATTTATCCTTATTAGAACCCACACAAAATAGAAAATGAGGAGTCAAAGGAACATTATGCCAAAACAAAAAATGACAAAATGACAGAACAACAACAGAAACCTAAAAGGAGCATGATTCAGTGGAAATGAAAAATATGACAGAAGGGAAATTCAGGGCAACAGTACAGGTAACTGATAGGAATTAAAAAAAAAAAAAAAAAAAAAAAAAACCCACACACACAGGCCATAAAATGGAATGGAGATAATGAAAATATCAGGCAGCTACTTTGGGAAGTAATGAAAAAATACTGTAGCTGATTTAAAAAAATATAATGGAAGGTCTTAATGCCAGACAAACAGTAGCAATGGAGAGAATGAATTTGAAAACAAAAACTGAAACTACTGAAAGGAGAAATAGGCAACAATTAGAGCTGGATATCATAACAGTCCACTCAATACTTAATAGGCAGAAAATCAGCAAAGATATAGCAGATTTGAACAACACTGTCAACCAACCTTACCTAAATGACATTATTTAGCACTCCATCAAAAGGGCAAAATATACATCCTGCGAACACCCTTGAGGATAAACTACATACTGGGACATAAAATAAGCCTTAAGATATTTAAAAGTATAGAAATAATTCAAAGTATATCGCCAGTTGTTTGTTAAAAGAAACTTGGAAAATCACCAATACTTGGAAAAGAAGTGATATATTACTAAATAGCCCATAAATTAAAAAAAACAAATAACAAGGGAAATTGGAAAATATTTTGAACAAAATGAAAACAAAAACATAACATTGCATCAAATTTAAGAGGTATGGCTTAAATAGTCTCAAGAGGGAAATTCAGAAGTATAATTACCATTGTTTTGTTTGGTTTTATTAATTTTATTTATTTTTTTGTAGAAGCACCATGTGGGTTAGCTCCCTTGCCAGGGAGCACACTCAGGTCATAGCAGTGATAGTGCTGAAACTTAACCTCTAGGCCACCAGGGAGACCCAAATAACATTTTTTTTTTAAGTTGCACCAGAGTTGCCAATACTGTTGCCCTGAATTCCCTTTCTTTTTTTTTTTAAAGATTTATTTATTTATTTATTTATTTATTTATTTATTTATTTATTTATACAAGCACTGGGTACAGTCAGAAGCGCGGGAGGGTGAGAGAATTCACCAGAGTCAGAGGGGAGAGCAGAGCAGGCAGAAAGACCGCGAAGTACACTGCTGAGGGAAGCAGCGGGGGTCAGGAGAGGTCTGCGAGCCATGTGGGACCCTCGCCCGGCGGCCAGGGATCGAACCGGCACTGCAGAGGCTGCGGGCAGCTTCGCAACTCAGTGCTCAAAATGCGCCACCGGAGAGGCCCCTGAATTCCCTTTCTGTCATGCTTTTCAACTCCACTGAATCCTGCTCCTTTCAGGAATAAATTACAAAAGAAAGGTTCCATATCAATAATCTAAGTTTCTACTTTAAGACAGGACAAAGAATGAATTAAACCCTGAACAGGCAGAAGGAAGGAACTAAAGATGGGGGTGGGGGAGAATCAATGAAATAGGAAACAGAAATAGAGAAAATTCAAGAAACCAAAAGTTCTTATGGGGGAAATTTTTAACAAAATTGATAAGCCTTTAGGGAGGGAGGGAGAGAGAATGAAAACATAGAACACCACAATCAGGGATGAAAGAGGAGACATCACTACCAATCCTACTGAAATTAGGATTGTAAGAGAAAATTGTGACCAACTATATCAACAAATGAGAAACAAACTCAGGTGAAACAAATTTCTCAAAAGACATACTCTATCGCTACTGACTAAACAAATAGAAAATATAAATAACTCTAACAATAAATGGAATTATTATTTATAAGCCTCTCTCCTCTACCACCACACACACATACACACAAAGCTGTACAAGCTGGCTTCAGCAGGTAAATTCTATCCTATACTTAAAGAAATAATGCCAATCCTACACAAATTCTTTCAGAAAATAGAGGCAGGGAACTTTCCAACTCAATCTATGAGACCAACACTATCCCTTTACCAAAGCAACACAAAGATATCACAAGAAAATGAGACTAATTATATCTCCTGAACACACACATGAAAACACTTAACAAAATATTAGCAAATGAAACTCAGCAACATATAAAAAAGATCAACATATAAAGAAGTGGGATTGACATGACCATCACATTTATGGGGTTCCTGACTCCTCTGTTCTTTTTATTGAGGTAAAGTTGGTTTATATTATTGTATCTTTGGGGGTTATCAGTTCAAACCTCCACAAATGTATTTTCATACCATGCCAAACACTAATGCCCCAATAATACTCCACCATGCTCCACTGGGCCTCCTCCCATCCCTCATTCCATCCTACCACCCTCCCATTCTGGTTGTCTTAGTTTTGCAGTAAGAGTTAATTAGTGGTTTGGCTGACTGACCCTTAGTTATATGTTTCTCTATTTTCCACATATAAGTGAGACCATTCTGTATTTGTCTTTCTCCTCCTGATTTATTTTGCTTAGCATTATCCTCTTCAGTTCTAGCCATGTGGTCACAAATGGCAAGGGTTCATTCTATTTTTTTTAATAGCTGAGTAGTATTCCATGCATACCACATTTTTCTGATCCACTTCCTGTCCTTGGCACTTAGGCTGTTTCCAAAACTCATATTTGAAACCAGTATAAATCATCACCAGTGGCTTGGCTGAGCACAGTAATCAAGCAATGTAGACTTTCCATAGGTATACATAGGGTGTAGGAAATAAAGTAACCTATTGCTACTGAAATTAGATATCAAAAAAGATAAAGAATACTATAAAAGTTAAGGAAAGTAAGATTTCCAACATCAACGTTGAGGTCAAGGATTTAAATACCTGACATGGATTTAAAACAAACAAAGATGAAAAAGTAGATGAACAATGAGCTAGATTTTCAGTTCCAATATATCCAGGACTCAAAATGACCACTCATTAACCAGATCCAGGTAGAACATAACTCTAGCTGCTAGGGATGACCCTAAGTGAAAAATGATACACTGTTGGAGAAAGGGTACTTTATCATCAGGAACACAGGTGAGACTTTGCAGAAAAGAAGGGTTTCCTTCTCCAGTTGTACATCAACTCAAGCACTGAAATTCAGTGTTAATTTTTAGGTTTATCCACATCTGGATCACCAGTTAAGTAACAGCACTTCTAAGTTGTAGACTTGGGACTCAGACTTCTAGGTTCCTGCTTTTGGAGATGGTGCATCTGCTAGAAGATGGTGCACCTGCTAGAAGATGGTGCATCTTAACACCCACCTAACCCAAGTAAAGCCTCGTGGAAAAATATACTGGATCAATCCACAAATACTGTTGTAAGAGATATGAGAGAAAGCTACCGTTACTGTTTTCAGGAAGCACTTGCATACACTGAAAACTTTCATACTCATCTCTAGGAATCAGAAAAAGTAGTGGAGAAATAACAGCATTGAGCTAGTCATTCACTTCTGTGTATTTTAGAATTACAACCTTCAACACACAGCATTCACAAGTTTGCCAATTCTGTACTATCAATGGATATCAAAATAAAATGGTACAACATTTTTACTATATAACAAAGATAATTATTTCCATTTTTTAAAAGTATTATTTCAGATGAGACTGTAAAACCACCAAGAAAGTTTCTGGATGTCAAAGGAGATTTGAAATAATGCAAATGTTACCTAAAGATTCAGACTAATATTTTAAATAATGAAACCAGGAGACACAGCTATGTATTTTGACAGAATCTGTGCAAAAATCTCTTTTCCACTAACTAAAAGCAAAATTTAAGCAGTTATTTCCAGGAAAAGTGTTTATCCAGTATGTCTTACTTTTCCTGGAAATTCCTCATTAAACATAGCTAATTTCAAAAATTGAGTTTGTGTGACTATACACACAGATTATCAATACTTAAGTTTTTCTGGATGAATTTTAAGCATGTCAACACATTTCTATATTATGAATTACAAAATAATTCATAGCAATTCTACAGACCATAAGCAAGTTTATTTAAATAATTTAACACTGCACAGAAAGCTGATTTGTAAGTATAAAAATAATTTAGCAACCAATACAAGCACCACACAGAAACAGATTACACACACACCATTGGGCCTTTAGGATATTAAGGCAATATTAATAGCTCAAGTAATTTTATGAGAATATTTTACTCATATAGATGCTATTAGAACATCTCAAGCTAGGCAAAGGCCACAACTTCTTCAGTATGAAATCTTCCCTTCTGGTTTTCTTTAATATATTAACGATTCTTCTTAAATACTGTACAGCAATTAGTCTAGATTGACAAGAGGACTATCAAAGCCACTATCTTGTTGATTAGACTGCAGAGCAATTAATTTTCTCAGAGACTGCTGGCGCACTGAAGCTGGTACTGACTTAGGATACGATGGGTGTCCAAGAGTCATGGTGATCTTCCCTGCCTGGGAATACATGCTTTCTTCGGACAGGTCTGGGGCATGACCATTCTGACAGTTCATTGGTTGATAAACCCCATTTTTTTCTGTATCTGAATGACAACTGGTTGCTGGAAACTGCTTGAGATTGAGCAATTCACTTAGCGTATCCAGAGTCCCCCGTGGCCTACCATGTAAAAATGGCACTTCTGGATTGATGCAGGGCAGAGTGGCGCTGCTGGAATGCCAGTCCACAGAATCACTAAGGTCCCCTCCTTCCTTTACTGGAGGTTCCTCAACACCCCAAGTTTCACTTTTCTCAGATACAGCATTTTCCCTTTCCTTTAGTGGGTTACACTTATATACTTTTAAACCAAGTCTTTCATCAGGACTTCGAAAGGTTATATGCATGGATCCAGATTCAGAGAGAGTCGGGGTATATCTAGATGAGGGTTTACTTCCACAGGACCCAAGAGAGGGGTAGGTGGTGGAATGCAGAAGTGATTCAGAACCTGTGTCACAGAGGAGGCCGTCCTTCTTGCGCAAACCAAAGCCTCTTTCGGCTTCGCAAGGAACAAACTCAGGAGAAATATTCCTTGGCAAAATGTCTAAGTGTTTGCAACCGGTATCCCCGAACTGAAAGTCAGAATGTGACCTGGAACCCACATGCTTTACGTCTCCATGCTGTGTGTCCTCCAACCTCGTTCGCAAGTTACAAGCAGCTCTCTTCTTAGGGACTAGGTTGCATGTACTCCCGGGGGCAGTTTTTACACTGTTTGGTTTGCTTTCACTGTGATATGGTATACTCTGATTCACATCATCTCTTTTCGATTTTTCAACTCCAACCAGCATCTCGGAAGTCAGAGGCAGTGCTACTATGTACAAGGGAACACAAAATTAGGGGAACACAAAATTAGGAGAAAAATCAACACTGAAAGAGAAGAGAAAAAATTGTTTTTATGTATTCCCAAAGAAAGCACATATAGTTTATTTATGCTCAAAGAAAATACATCAATGCTGGACCTTTGAAAACTTTCTTTTACATACATTCATTAGATAAAGCTAGGTAAGTATGCTAATAAAATCTGGTCTATTTATTCCTACTGGTATGTTTATTTTCTGCAAAAGATGTTACAGCACTTCAAGAGCCAACTTCAATGTATCCACTCCTTCTCTGTTGCCAAGTATGTAGTTTCTGATGAAGAAAGTTTACTGTAAGAATTCCACTGCCCAACACCTATCTAACTAGACAGAGATACACAGAGTCAAAGCTAGAGTTTCTGATTAATCAACTAAAACACTAAATCTGATGAGAGGCAAAGCAGCACGTAAGGAGCACTGGCACCACATTGCAGTGCTTTCTTCTGACAGGTTAGTACCTCGGTCCATGAGAATGATTTTCTCCTGCTGGGGACATTATTTGCACACTTCTACTCTAAATCTTAACAACTTTTTCTTGTTGTATGTCATTGACCTTTTATATCCAAGGCTCACATCATCATTACAAAATTTACACAATTCATCTCTGTGCTTCTATTAGAGGAATGATTATGAACATCAGATTGTGGATTCCTGAACAGTTCTTCCTTCAAGCTTTCCAGGAATTCAAAAGTCCCGTTCCTTATAGATATGTTCAAAATTCTCCAGTATGACTGGAAATTGACCCATTTTTTCATTTCCATCAGCTTTTGCATTATATATTCTGAAACTACTTCAAGAGTACAGAAAGAATTCTTTAGATTCCACATAGAACTGAAAACATATGATATTTGTCTTTCTCTGACTTAATACTTCATTTAGTATAATGCCCTCAAGATTCTATCCATGTTGTCACCTATGGTAAGTTTCCATCTGTTTTGTGGCTGAGAAGGGTCTCCAGAGAGTGTGTGTACACACCACATCTTTTATTTCCATTCATCCATCAGTGGGCCAGGTTGTTTCCATATCTTGGTTATTGTAAATAAGGATGCAGTAAACACTGGGGTGCACATATTTTTTCAAAGTAGTAGTTGTTTTTATTTTGGATAAATACCCAGAAGTGGAATTGCTGGATCATATGGTAGTTCTATTTTAATTTTTCGAGGAAAAAAAAACAACTACATAAAAACTAAGCACACAGAAACCAGACTGGCGGTTACCAACAGAGGGGAAGAGGGTTGACAGGAGGGCGAAATATACAAGCTCTGCTAATACCTAATCATGGGGATGTAATATAGACCATGGGGACTGTAGTTAGTAATATGCTATGGCATATTTGAAAGTGGCAGAGTAAGTCTCATTGCACACACAAAAATGTTTGTAGAGATATAGGGTAGTGGACAGTAACCAGACTTATTGTGGTGATCATTTCAAAATGAATATCGAATCATTATGTTATACATTTGTTATAATGTTATACACCATATGTCAATTATACCACATTTAAAAATAAAAATAAAACACAAACTTATTATCTTACCCTCCTCCCCATCCCCGACCCCACCAAAAAAGAAAAAATCACTTATAACTTGTTGGGCGATTGTTCATTTATCGCTGAACAACAGCTTTGGTTCCTTTTATAGTTAACTCTAATTCAACTAACACTGTACTCAACTCTATAATCTTCTAAAATTAATATATGTCTGCCTTTTTAAAAACTGCTTGATAGTTGTTAGTGTTTCAGTAAGTTTATCCTATTCACATTTAATATAACTGCTGATGTTTCAACCTATTATATCTTCTATTTAAACACATGCTTTCTATAGTATTTTTCTTCTTTCTTGAATTATGTTTGATAGAAAACATTTTCTCCCATGTTTTTTGCACACTAGTTTGAAAGTTAAATATTCTATTTCTTCTCTATTGGTTATCCTTAAGTCTTGAGAATACTTTTTTACTCATACTTAAATCTGACTTTTTCTAGGAATGGCCAGGGTTATGAGTATCTACACTGTCTCCTTGAAAACAGTAGGAAGAGGGCCTCCCCGATGGTGCAGCGGGTTGAGCGCAGCGCTGTGAAGTTGTACGCAACCTCCACGGTGCCAGTTCAATTCCCGGCTGGTCAGGGAGATTCCGACATAGCGTGGCAGACATCTCTTGTCGCACCTGCTGCTCCCCTCAACAGTGCTTTCGGTCTGACTGCCTGTTCTGCTCCCCACTCTGTCTCTGGTGAATCCTCTCACCCTCCCGCACCTCTGGCCTGTACCCCAGCTATTGTATAAATAAAAAATCTTTAAAAAAATAAAAAATAAAATAGTAAGAATATTCTGTATCATTATCTGCAAATACTATGCTTTCTACAAATTCAGGTCCTATTGTACGTTCTATTAATTCTCTCCTCAGCTAAACATTTTGTTTGGAGTTTGGTATCCTTTTTGGTGCTGGCTTTCTATAAACATATGGTGATTCTTGACTGAATGTCTATCTTTTAGACGTTCTAAATATGGTATCAGTTTGGGTTCCTTTTCAAAGGAGCAGAACAGAGTGGGAAGGAATGAAGTGCAGGGTAGAAAGACCAAATAGCTAGCTGGTCATGTAGGCATGTGGGCTCTCGTGTCCCCATGGTGAGGCAGTCACCAGGAGGACTACCCTCCCTGTTCCTGGACACTGCTCCTGTTATTCTTACCCCACTCAACACTGGACTTGGGGAAGGGAGGGAAGGAGAAATAAAGTGACTGCCCCCGGTTACTGTTGCTCTAGAATACCAACTAATTACCCCACTGGAATCCCCTAGCCTGCATCCCCTAAGCCTACTACTTCTGGAACATACTACCTCTATGTGGGGACTGATTTTGACATTGCTGCTACTTGTAGCTGTCATTTGCTGAAAGTTTTGAACTGAAGTTTCCATATTTCTATCTTTTACCATCTGCTTTCTTTTAGGGGTTCCTCATAGCTTCAGGTCTAGGAATCAATATTTTTAAAACTATAATTTCATCTTTTATTTGTTACTCTAAAATTTTTTTCTATCATTTCTAGGGATGCAAACAGCAACAGGAAATGATGGGTAGGCTCAGTCTACCTAAGTGAACTGGTAACCTTGCACTTTTTTTTGGTTAAGTTTCCAGTTTAAGTAATATGTGCAATTTTATCAATTAACTCTCACTGCTTATACTTTCTGCTCTGTATCACACTGAAAATATTAAATGTCTAAAATAAAAGGGAGAAAAAAGTGACTCATTTTGTAATAACTGCTAATTCACGTGACTCATGTTGACATACCTGACTGTGTAGTTTTGCTCTGGGGTTTATTAGAAGTAGGTGTTTCCAGCAATTTTGCCATTGTAGCAAGTTTGCTAGCAGCATTCATAATCTTTTTCTCAGCCCTGTGGGGAATTGCAGAACATTAAATTAGTACAGTTTAAAGGGAAAAATTAGTTTCCTTGGTCCCAGGACTTTTGGTTTCCTATTAGTTACACCAACATTTAGGTTAGCACAACCATAACCTCTCTCTGAACACCCACTGTGGGGCTAATTTTGGTAGAAATAGTTAATTTTGTGGTTAAGAAAAATGCTTAGAGTAGAAAAAAATGACAATGTGTGTGCCTGGTACTCTTAGGACCCATTGTTTGTTTACACTGAACCTACCCTTCTGGTTCTCCATTATCCTGCAAAATCTGTTGGAGACAAGTCAAATAATATTTGCGCATCCTTCGGGCAGTTTCTTGACGTTCTCGCAATACCTCTTCTTTTACCATTTCCGCAGCTCTTTCCTTACTTTCCTGAATATAACGAAGCATGTCACCTGGTGGGGGTAGGGGCAGAGGAACACCCACAGAATGCATGTTGGTTAGCAGTGCTATGTTTCAAAAGCAGGGAGAGGCAGACTTCAGACCCATTTTCTGGGAGATGAAGGGATAGGTGGCATATTTTAAAAATTATACTTTTCCATAATCATTGAAATGGTATATATTTAGATTACCATTTTGATAGACTCAAAGGAGAAGTAATCTAAAAGTTCCTCCAGAGTGATGACAACATTCTATATTCATGATGTAAGGAGACACAGCATTTTCCTAGGGACTTTTTTTCATATTCTGAAACACTGAGCAAGAAAAAAAAACTATAATTGAGAAATAAATCATTTCATCTGTACATTAAGTTCAGTTAAGAAAAGGAAAAAATATATATATACAGAAAGGATGAGGCAGAAAGGCAGAGAGAAGCAAACACAGAAAGACAGAAGGAGGTAGTATGAGCAGACTCATATACAAGAAGGATTCAGATTCTTCTGTTTATCTGTGCTCTGAAAATCCATCTTTCATTACTCAATTCTTTGCAGCACTTATGAGTATTAAAATAAATATAATAATACAATCCATGAGAGAGATGTGCAAAAGGCTATTTGAAGGCGAGATAGGGGACTTAATGATGTTGCATTATAAACAGTCTATTTAAAAATAATTCACAACTTTCAAGTTCTCTTTTTATCTTTAACTCATTATGCTTTGATTGGGACTAGCATTTGTTGAGGTTCACATCTTTTATTAAATGCAGAGCTACATCCTACATCTAGAGTATCTCCATCTCAGTAATATAAAGGATTTCAATTCATAGAGGAATCTCCCCGCTCTTACTATCAATAGACTTTTCCTGAAAATTAGACATTGCTTGAAAAATACTAACCGGGGTACTCTTTCTCATTATTTGAAGTGGGAAAATTTAAATGGAGTATTATCAACAGAAAACCTCTCACCAGTTTCTAAAATGTAAAACAATATACACATACACACAAACAAGTTCTCATATTTTAATAAAAAATAATGCTTAAAATTTTAATTCCCCATTAATACAACTTAACAAAAATTTGTTTAACAAAAATTTTGTAGAAATTTGCTTAACGAAATTTTGTAGAAATTTTGCTAGCAACAACTGGGAAGCAAAACTCTTTTGCTGATATTAAGTAGACTTTTCAAAACATTGACACATGATTCTGCTGATCTAGTAATTATTTTCAGAACTTGCAACCTTTCCCACTCATTTGCTGAAAATGAACGCATGTTTAGGAGGTTAATATACATTTCTCCTTTGCAGACACTGGTTACTGCTCTGGACACATATACATTCTATGCAATGCTAGAATGAAAATCCAGGTGATAGTCTACTGGGAAAACAAACCAGACAGATGGTCTGCAGGGCCTGCATAGCACTGCGAAGGACTTGATGAAGAGATTCTCATCATCCGTTACATCCTTCATCAAAACAATGAGAAACACTAGAACACCACCTAACTAAATCCACTTTCTGTGGTTCTTAAAGTTTACGGTAGGAAATAATATCGCTAATTTAAAAGTCAGGTGATATTTTCTCTGCTATCAGTTATTTACATTGTAAGATTATGAAATTTTTAGTTTATTATTAATGTTACCAAAAGAGAAAAAGGATAATCAACAACATAAAAATAACTACCTTCATGTCACTCCCAAAAGATATTACTTGGGCAAAATAACTCATTATTGCAAATGATTCAGGAAAGATATCAACGTTCTCATCTAAAAACAAGTTAAAATCCCAGAAGAAGGCAATTTAGAAAAATTCCCCAGAATTACTACTTTTAGTTAACTTCAAGTGTACATTTAAAAGCAACAATGACGGGCCTCCCCAAGGCGCAACAGTTGAGCACTGGGTTGCAAAGCTGCCCGCAGCCTCTGCAGAGCCGGTTCGATGCCCAGTCACCGGGCGAGGGTCCCACATGGCACGCAGACCTCTCCTGCTGCCCGCTGCTCCCCTCAGCAGTGTATTTCATTGGTCTGCCTGTTCTTTTCCCCGCTCTGGCTCTGCTGAATTCTCTCACCCTCCAGCGCTTCTGACTGTACCCAGTGTTTGTATAAATAAATAATCTTTTTAAAAAATAATAAATAAAAATAAAAGCAACAATGACAACAAAAGGCCCAAACCATCCTTAAAATCTTGAGTGTCTTTTTAGGAACTTACGCTTAATTTTTTTCACAGCTTTAATGTACTGCCCTCGAAGTTCTTCCAAGGCTCCCCCATGGCAAGGCAGATAAGCATTTTCAATGGCCCCTTCTGACAATGACCTAAAGACAAAAACAAAGATTGCCAAAACAGAGACTAAAAGTGAAAAATTTTATCTGAGAAGATACATATTTATATATTCTAATAAACGTGCTAAAAAAATCATATAATGCACTGTTCAGTTTAAATATAGTGACAAATAAGTCATGGAAAATCTACATGATGAAAGTCTATGTGACTACTGAAATGCAGATTCTAGGAAAGTATCTAATGCACAGGGAAATGTGAATCTTATGATAATAAGTTACTCAAAGATTGCAAAGTAGCTTATATGATAATCTCAATATTAGAAATGTGCACATATTAAAATGTGTGCGTATGAAGTGATCTAAATGGTAGAAAACAAGAGAGTAACACAGGGCATCTTCTAGGGACAGGGCTTTAAAAAATTTTCTTCTTTTCTAAATTTTTGTTGTATAACAGTAGCAATAATTGATATTCTTGGTATGCTATCATGATAAAGAAAGTTAGAAATAAACATCTTTAAAATAGTAAAAATTCTACCTTGGCGGTGTTTTACAAAGTGTTCTCAGTTCTTCCAATTTATTCTTCATGTCGTTATTTTCTTCTATTAAATCCTCAACAACTTTATTATTCTCTTCTAAAAAAGAAATTTATAGTATATTGGTCAATTAAGAACTCCCCCCCCACCCCCAGCCTTCCTTTCCCTTATTTCCCAATGAGAATGTTTATAGACAAGACTGAGCTATTTCCAGTTGCTCCCTTGAGTTATTCATTCCCTAATGAGCTCTATAATGACCACTCCCTGCTCTGTTTTCTCAGTGCTGAAAATCTGTATTCTATCTTCACCTTGCTCTGGGTTATGCGCTGTCTGGGAATAGGTTTCCAATTGTCTCATACACATGTGTTTTGTCTCCTAGGTGAACTGAATCTCTGCAGAAACATACTAGATTTATAATTTCATATTCCCTGTTGGGTCCTGGGGGAACATGATCATTGAAGAAATAACTCGATACAAAATTAAGTTTAAGTAGGTGCCATTTTCAGAATGATGAAGAGACTGATGGAATCCATGTGAACAAAGCCTGACTTTCAGGGACAGAGACAGAGTTTAGATTCTAGCTCTGCTTCTTATCAGCTGGAGCTCAGGCAAATTGCTTACCTTTTTGGAATCTAAAATTTTTTATATGTAAAATGGGGATCATTTTACCTATACTGAAGATTACAATAGAAATAAAGGAATAAATGCACAGCACCTTATAAAAGGCCTGACAATACCAACGTTCAGTAAATAAATAGGACCCCATGTGTCCTACTATGCCACCATTTCAACACACCCAATAAGTTGGGGAATGAATCACTCACTATTTATTCCCCCCCTAGTGACTGATATAACTAATATATTTTTAAACCATTCACTCTTACCCTTCAATAAATGCTACCATGGACAGTGGAAAATGAATTTAAGAAGCAACCACAATAGCAAAAATATTATCACCTAATAGATTTACATTAAGACATAAACTGAAATCCAATTATCAAATGACTTAAATTCTGGCCTAGTACCATTCACCCCCACTGTTTTGATCTAACTATCAATTTTCTTGGGTTAGTTCTAAGTCTATGAGTGACAGACAATATCCTAAAAAAAAAAAAAAAAATACAATGTAGAATAATTTTTATAATCACAGTATATGATGCTAAAAGTTGTTAGTTACAATCCAACTGTCCTTGCCATCTTCTTACATAAAACAAATTTTCTTCGTTTTCATGTAATTTTACAAAAGCTATTATCACACCTACTTCTACAAATGGATAAACATCTCGTTTACTCCCCTGGCCTCTAAAGAGCTAAGTAATTACAATGGGAATTGCAGTTGTTAAAATTTTTATCTCAAAATTTTTAAAATCCTTTCTTGCCTAAAATTATCTCTAACAAACTTAGTAAACAGGAGGTGGGTATAGGTAGTATCTCTTGGTCCACAATACCACATGTGTTACGATGCCAGGTACAAGCATCGTAGGAGGCCTCTGGGGATAGGACTTGATCCATGATTCCATCAAGTCTATACTCCACAGGAGAATACAAACAATAAATTGTTGCAAAGATAATGAGCGTTATAAAAATCGTAAGTGCTCTGGGGACTGTGTAACAGAACCTAGCCAAGTCTGGGGTGGTCAGTAATTCTGCCTGAGCACATAATGTACTGGGGGACAGATGATAGGATTTGGCCCAGACTGGAAGATGTTCTAGCAAAAGAAGAGCATAAAGAGGTGCCAATAAGAGAGACAATGAAATCCAGGTTATGGCGCTACTGAGAGAGAAGACGAGGGGCAATGAAGCTGAAGAGCTGGCAGCCTCCTAACTGTATTTCCCACTGACAGGTCACTGAAGGGCTTTAGACAAGAGAGTGTCATGATCCAATTTACTCTTCTAAAAGGTCCCTCTAGCCTCCCTATGGAGAATGGATTAAAGGGGTAAGGTTGAAAGCAAAAAGGGCCAGGCAAGTGAGAGAGGTGAATTAGGAAAAAAGTGAACCCACCATCTGGTTTTCGGATAAGGCAATTATTTGAGAACTTTGCATTCAATTCACCATTCACTCAAGCTGGTATGACTGTATGTAGAGGGCGCCATGACTACAAGACATATTCTTTATTCTCAGGAAACTCTCAGGTCAGAGAGGGCATCAGGCAAGTAACAAAGAACAGTCATACCACAGGAAGCCAACTGTTAATGGGGCCACACAGAAGTGACCAATCCAACCCACACTGGGGTAGGTTAAGGGGGCTTTTGGAGATAAGGCATCTTCACAGATGACAAATCCTAAAGGAAGAGGAAGAATATCGCTGAGAGGAGAATGAGAGGGTGTAGTGTAGGACAGAGTGACACCACCAAATGCAAGGTCCAACAGTTAAAGAAGATTCCTGACTAGTTCAGGATCTGAACCATTTCAAATGTAAGGAGAATAGAGCACACGATATAAGGGAAAAGAGAAAGGTAAGAGGGAACAGCCACATACGCCCCATAGCTTCACTTCTTCAGAAAGGCAAGAGGAAATGGCAAGAGGACCCCACCATTTAGGTTATCACCCTGACAGCAAATTGTGAGGAATGGACTGGACTGGATTAGAAGAGGGCCAGATGAGAACCATCAGCCTTGTTCATAACTTTTCCCTCTGCCTGCAATGCTGTTCTTTTTGGCAAACACCTTCAATCTTAAAATCACTACATGCTGAGTAAAGCCTTCCCTAACTCTAATTGGGAAGAGTTCATTGACACCCTTTCTTCCAGGTTGACACAAACCTACTGCCAGTATCATTCAATGTCGCAACGTTTTGTTAATCTGTTAATTCTCCTCACTTGATATTTTTCTTGGAAGAAAGGAACAGAGTCTTGTACATCTACATCAGAATTGGAATTATCTGATGTGTTCACTACTGTGTTCCCAGTCCCTAGCTTCTCACTTCATTCCTACCCATTCAATCAAAAAAGGAAGAAAAGCTCAAATTTCCCCCTTGTGCATTCAGTAATAATTTGGTTAGGAAAAACATGGCTCAGATTAGTTCACATTAATCCCAAAAGAGAATCAGTGCCTATATTGACTAAAATGTTTAATTTCAACGAGGTCCAAAGTGCTAACCTCCAATTTTTTCCACTACAGCTTTGTGTTTCCTTTCTAAATGCTGAAAATGCCTGCAGCATTTTTCCAGTTTTCTTTTCAGATCTTGACATTCCTGCTTTGCCTTTTCAAGTTCTTGGAAGCAGTGTCCACAGCATGAATCTTTAATTTCAAGGATCTTTTTCTTATCTGCAAAAATTAAATAATATCAAACTTTTATAAAAATTTAGACTAAGAACAACCTCCCCCCCCCAAAAGGGGAAGAAAACCAGATGAGCTAAAGGCAACAATGTAACACAAAGAAACACTATTCACAAAAGAGAAAGAAGTAGGTTTAAATCCTGTTTCCATTATTTCTAACCCTGTAGCTCAAAGAGTAAACTCTGAGACTTTTTTTTAAACTGTGCATTACTGAATAATACCATCTATTTTAAAAATTTCTATAAAGTCTAATACATAAATCTTAGCGATGAATACCATTCCCCACTAACAAGAAACAGCAATCTTCATGAAATGGCTGATTCTAGTAACGCGATAGGGATAGAGAAGATAAGACAAGAATATTTTGCTGTAAGACAGTAAAATAATTCATCATTTTATGTTTAGGATTATTTGATCCTTTCTCATGAATTTGTTAATGTGCTTGCTTTTTTAGGGAAAAAGACTGAAGAAAGAAAAATAAATCATTTTATAGTCTAATTTGACTTAGGTCAAAACTAATTTCTTTCATAAAATCATAGAACTTCCCAAAGCCAACTAATATCTAAAATCTGTTTCTATCCATCTTACCAATTAAAATATAATTCTCAGGATATTTCAAATATAAAAACATATATACAATGAAACTAAAAAGTAAGAAGGAAAAAGTACAAATTTAGGTAGTATTAACAACTACCTAGTTGGCAATAAGAAATTCTCAACCATCTAGAAACTAGAAGTGAAAAGAAAAGGTCCATGAATCATGCAATAAATAACTGCCAAATGACCTCTTAGGAAAGACAGTTTCTCACTAAGATTCTGATAATGTTGCCCACTGAACTAGAAATGTGTCAAAATTAAAAATGACAGCTCTAATACATGTGATTTGCTCAAGCAGTTCTTAATTCTTCTATCTGTGAAAACAACAAATAAGACAGAAAGAGTACTGTATCTGGAAGGAAGCAGTGGGTTGTCACAGGCAAATAGCCTTAAAAAAGATGGGAATCAATAAAGGATAGGCCAGCTTCCACAGTATGGCCGGCGACATTAGCTAGCGCTCGCTCTATGCTCTTTCACGGGGAAACAGCGGAGTGCAAGAGACTGGACTGTATCTGCCTCTTTCCAACAGACTCATTCAACTTTCGCTCACACACACACACAAACACACAAAAAAAAAAAAAAGCCGGGAAAATTTTATTAATTCTTTTTTTAAAAAAAGTTAATATAAAATTATAGCCAAAAAAAAAAAAAAAAAGGAACCTGAACTTTAGTAACACAGCTGGAACAATCTGCAGCGGCGGCGGCGGGAGAAGAGATTTAATTTAGTTGATTTTCTGTGGTTGTTGGTTGTTCTCTAGTCTCACGGTGATGGAAGCTGCACATTTTTTCGAAGGCACCGAGAAGCTGCTGGAGGTCTGGTTCTCCAGGCAGCAGCCTGACGCGAGCCAAGGATCTGGGGATCTCCGCACCATCCCGAGGTCCGAGTGGGATATACTTTTGAAGGATGTGCAATGTTCGATCATAAGTGTGACAAAAACTGACAAGCAGGAAGCTTATGTACTCAGTGAGAGTAGCATGTTTGTCTCCAAGAGACGTTTCATTTTGAAGACATGTGGTACCACCCTCTTGCTGAAAGCACTGGTTCCCCTGTTGAAACTTGCTAGGGATTACAGTGGGTTTGACTCAATTCAAAGCTTCTTTTTTATTCTCGTAAGAATTTCATGAAGCCTTCTCACCAAGGGTACCCACACCAGAATTTCCAGGAAGAAATAGAATTTCTTAATGCAATTTTCCCAAATGGAGCAGCATATTGTATGGGACGTATGAATTCTGACTGTTGGTACTTGTATACTTTGGGGTAAGAGAGTCGGGTAATCAGCCAGCCAGATCAAACCCTGGAAATTCTGATGAGTGAGCTTGACCCAGCAGTTATGGACCAGTTCTACATTAAAGATGGTGTTACTGCAAAGGATGTCACTCGTGAGAGTGGAATTTGTGACCTGATACCAGGTTCTGTCATTGATGCCACACTGTTCAATCCTTGTGGGTATTCAATGAATGGAATGAAATCGGATGGAACTTATTGGACTATTCACATCACTCCAGAACCAGAATTTTCTTATGTTAGCTTTGAAACAAACTTAAGTCAGACCTCCTATGATGACCTGATCAGGAAAGTTGTGGAAGTCTTCAAGCCAGGAAAATTTGTGACCACCCTGTTTGTAAATCAAAGTTCTAAATGTCGCACAGTGCTTTCTTCGCCCCAGAAGATTGAAGGTTTTAAACGTCTTGATTGCCAGAGCGTGATGTTCAATGATTACAATTTTGTTTTTACCAGTTTTGCTAAGAAGCAGCAACAACAGCAGAGTTGATTAAGAAAAATGAAGAAAAAACACAAAAAGAGAACACACATAGAAGAAGGTGGTGGCTGCTTTTTAGATAATGATACCAGGGGCCATGCTTTCCATAACCACCACCTCGTAGTTGCAGAAAGCCCTAGATGTAATGATAGTGTAATCATTTTGAATTGTATGCATTATTATATTAAGGAGTTAGATATCTTGCATGAATGCTCTCTTCTGTGTTTAGGTATCCTATGCCACTCTTGCTGTGAAATTGAAGTGCATGTAGAAAAAAACTTTTACTATATGAAACTTTACAACACTTGTGAAAGCAATTCAATTTGGTTTATGCACAGTGTAATATTTCTCCAGGTATCATCCAAAATTCCCCACAGACAAGGCTTTCGTCCTCATTAGGTGTTTGCCTCACCTAACCATATGGGGCTATTCTATTAAATTGCTGCCAGGATTTTACATTGTTACCACTACTTTCTAGAACATATTCTCTACTAATGTTATTGAAACCAATTTCTACTTCTACAGATGTTTTTTGCAACCACAATTAAAAGTTTTCTTCCATTAAAAAAAAAAATAAAGGATAGGCCAATTTCTCGTTCAGAAATCTTAGTGAATAGTCAATAGAAGCCCTATGGTCTACGGTGAGCTCTGAATACCTCAAGGGGCTGGCATACACCACAATAATTCCTTTTCATAATGATCACTCTAAGTCATTATGGGAAAGTTAAACCATTTATTCATCAAATATCCCAGAAAGGCACACTCTACGAGGAAACACATATCAGAAACACATACCAGTTGTTTTCATCAGAAAACAAGTAATGTAATTCAGAAAGATTTCCATTAAAAAAATGGCTGAAATAAGTTTCAGTAATTTGAATGAAAATGCCTCCGTTATTTGGCAGCTCTATGTAAAACTCTGGATTTCTCAATAAAATCAGGGAATAAAACCATGACACCTCTATTAAAATTCTCATTATTCTCTTTATCATATGGAAGGAAGGCCATGGCAAGATAGATGTAAGAGTGCCTGAAGCAACCGTCTTCTACACACAAATAAAGTCTAGGGAGAGAATACATTAGGGAGGAGTAATAGCACATATTTGTTCACGCATAAGCTGTATGCATCCTGTTACGCTCAAAGCAATTATACAAATACCAGGAGGAGGAAAATTCCATTACCAGCTTCTGCTTCTGTTTCTGGCGAGGCCAAGGGCTGAGTATGGTGTTCAGAAGTGGACACAGGAAAGGTTACTGTGACTCCAGCGTCTTCTCTGCTAGTGACCCAGGGGGCAGGATCCTCAGAGATCTTGATCATATTTTTCTGAAACAGATTATCTTCATAGTTTGTACCTAGTGAAAAATCTTTACATATTTCTCTATCTAAAATGCTAACATTAGAAAAACAAAAGAAATCACCGCCTAAAATGTTATTTTGTCTAACTCAGCGCCTATATTCTTAGTGTTACATGAATACCGTCATTACTATGAAAGAGTCTTCTATGACCCTATTTTCTGAATGAGAACATTATCTAACCAATGCCAGGTAGGGCAGCTATGAGGAAACAAAAGATATAACTTACATGCCCTATATGTAATGTATAGATGAAAAAATAAATTTAAGATATTTTAATTTGTGTGATAAAATGCAGGATACATTACATGAAACCGGTATTGTTCTGAAAATCCCAAACATTTTCACTGCAAAGGGAGTCAGATTCATTAGAAACCATAATACCAACCTTTTGCCTTCCATGAGCTGAATGTAACAAGAGTAAAAATATATATATATTTTTAATGTATACAATACATTGTATGTTGCTATTTCTTTTATACACAGTCATGGCTAAGGAAGGCCATTTGAATTTCAATGTTAGAGGAACTGAGACCCACCTACGTTAAACATTTTATACACCATTCTTCAATGACATTTATTGAACACGTTGTGTTCTGGTTCCTGTTGCAGGCAATAAGCTAATAAATATATCAGATTTTGGACAACTACTAACTCTACTATATCTGAGAGGAACTGAACAGGTCATCTTGAAAAAAGCTTTCTTGTTTAATTATTTAAAACACATCATAGATGCTTGATTCTGAAGGCTTGGTTTTGCTTAAGAGAAATTCACTTCACTGTCAGGAAAACTACCAACAGAAGCAGAGGTCGGCAGAGAAAAGGCAAGCTCCCAGCAATTGAGAGGCTATGTACTAAGGTCGACGAGTAATAAAAGTTGAACCCAAAAGAAATAAATGTTTTTTGTTTCTACTCAAAATTGGAGAAAAGTCAAGATGACTGAAAACAGAGGGAAAGAAGCAACCTTTTCAACTTAGTTTTAAGTTGACTTTGGTGGTAAGAAGAGTCAATGTACATTCTTGAAATATTTGTCCCAATTGATATTTGTTTTCTTTTATTCATTATGAACTGTGGTATTAATATATTTTGAGAAGGCAGTCATTTTCCTGGACACTGCATTGCTAAACTTTTGATCGGACCTCCCCTAGTGGTGCAGCGGTTGAAAGCCAGGCTGCGAGGCTGCCCGCAGCTTCTGCAGCACTGGTTCAATCCCAGGCCATGGGCGAGGGTCCCATAAGGCATGCAGACCTCTCCTGCCATGCCTGCTGCTCCCCTTAGCAGTGTATTTCGTTGGTCTGCCTGTTCTGTTCCCGCTCTGGCTCTGGTGAATTCTCTCACCCTCCCGCGCTTCTGACTATACCGGGTGCTTATATAAATAAATTAATGAATCTTTAAAAAAAAAAAAAAGAAAACTTTTGATCATCTAAGTTATTTTAAGGACTTATTTTATATGTATTGATATTTTTTCCTTGTTTGATTTTCATAAAAAACTACATATTTAGTAAATTATAAACCATAATTTTTCACATTTATGGCACCTATATTGCAAATTAGTAATCAGTGCTCTATACTCATTACTTTACCTCAATCTCTGAACTGAGTTAGCTCTAAAACTGCAGAAGTCAAGCATTGCTCTATGGCAATGTCAGAGTAGGCATTTCAAAGCCACCACCCTTTTCTCAGGAATGGAATCTGATTCCACCCTACAAAAGTTGCAAAAGTCTAAGTTCTTAGCCAAATTATGTGATTCTGTCTCTGTAGACATGTAAGCCATATTAAATCACGCAGATGATTTTATACTGTTTGTACAATTACACACCCTATAAAAAGACCCTGGGGTAGGCTATATATTGATGGTAGGAGAAAAGTATTAGATTTTCTTGATTCTTATAACAGATTATCTTTTCAGGAAAGCAAACTTGAAAGCATATGATTTCCCTATTACCTCTTGTCCTTAAAACCTACTATTATCAATTATTCTTACTTTAATTATTTTTTCTAGAGAGTTTCAATAAAGTATTACAAACATTATTCATAGGAAGTGATCTCACAAGTTGAAAGCAATTACTAAGCAGCAACATCTTTGTGAAATCAAAAATGAAAATATCAACTAGAGTCAACTGGGAATGATCTGTCAGGTAAATTTTCAGCTCCAAAATTCTATACCATTTCAAAATTCTATACCATTTTGCAGGATGCAAAAGAGCCAAGCAATATCACATAGCAGAACCTTAGGAATTAGGCCAGAATTGTGTATTTTCTTTCTCAAATGAGCAAGTATAGATATGACTACCAAAGGAAATAAGCTAATTATCCAAGTGTAGGACTAGAACTTGGACTTTTTCTCTATCTTATAACTCTTTCTTTTTTTTTTTTTTTTTTAAGATTTATTTATTGATTGATTGATTTATACATACATGCATGCAAGCACTGGGTACAGTCAGAAGCGCGGGAGGGTGAGAGAATTCACCAGAGCCAGAGCGGGGAGCAGAGCAGGCAGAAGGACCGAAGTACACTGCTGAGGGGAGCAGCGGGCGGCAGGAGAGGTCTGCGCGCCATGTGGGACCCTCCTCCGGTGGCCGGGGAGCAGCTGGGGATGGAACTGGAGCTGCAGAGGCTGCGGGCAGCTTCGCAACCCAGCGCTCAACCGCTGCGCCACCGGGGAGGCCCCTTATAACTCTTTCTAGTAGGAAATAATACCAAATACCTGATCTTGAAAATGTTTAATCAAAATATCCTAAATTACATCTCACTCTCCTATCAGACAAACTTTATAATATGGATATTTTATTCTACCTCTAATTCCAAATCCCAAACTCAGCTCATCACAAAGCTTAGAATATCAAGCACTGATATTTTTCAAGCATATTTAATTTCCTTAGTCATCAATAAATGCTTTTTTTTATTATTTTATCAGATCTTCCACACAAACAAACGCTGGGTAAGAACATATATAACTAAAAGAACACAACTAATTAATTTTATATGCACATTATACAGTACACCAACAAAATTGGGCTTCAGAATTTTGTCTAAGTAAGCTGCACCCTATTTGCTTGTTTCCATAGCAATATTCTTTCTACTTGGCTGATGTTTTTTGCTGATTTATATATACATGATATATAAATTCCTTCAGAGCAAGAAATAGACTTCTAAATTATTTAGAAACCCTTAAGAAACCCTAATTGAAAACGATACATTATTTCTTGAAGTGGGCATGCCCAAAAAACAAAAATAGGGATGATAGCTATTCATTTTCAGATATCTCAGGCCCTTACAAAGAATAGCATACACTTTTTAGGCAGAAAATGTCTAGAGGCTAAACGTTTTGCTTCATATTTATGGTACTATGAAGAGGTAAAGGTTTTTTGGGGGAAAAAAAGGTGGGATACTTTGGATGTGCTATAAAATTTTTTAAGCCATTGACTCATGTCTTATATCTACTAAACTTTAAATTGAAGAAAGGAAAAAAATACCCTATATAACTTTTACAAACATCCTTGCTGTTAAATGGCTCTTTTCACTTCTCAGGAACATACCTTTTCCCATTCTGGGTTGGCATTTTCTTTAAGAAGGGAGAGAATATCTTGAAATGTTTTCTTTATGCACACCTTTAGTTTTTCAAAATATTTCACAGACACCCATTTGGAAGAACAAGTCGACACAACTTCCAAAAGTTGCTTGTCGGCTGAGCCACTGACATGCTCCTTTTGAGTATCCTTTAACAGAAATTCCAGTACTGTTAGGATATCTTCCTCATATTGATAGATTTCCAGTTGGATCCTCCTGGCTTCCTGCATAGCCCATTCTCTACGACTCTGGTCTAGACATGTTTGCAATTCTGTCTCCTTCTGAAGAAGTAGTTCAGTTTTCTGTTTCATAAAGTCTTCTTTAGCTGCCGCAAGCACCTCATTAATTTTATTTCTATGATCATCTAAAAATTGCCGGTAATCTTGCTCATTTTGTTCTTGAATTTTGTGGATTTCTTCTTGCTTTTCTTTGTTCCACTCACTCCGGGCCTTGGCCAACTCGGCCCTGATGACCACGGGGGTTTCCTCATTCTTTAATTCAAGCTCTCTCTCAAGAGAATTAACCTTCTCTTCCAATTCCTTCGCAGGTATTACAGTCTTCATATGTTCAAGTTCACTTTTCCACTTTTCTTTAGCTTCAGAGACAGCAAATGATATCTAGAGGACATACAATGTACATTTAAATGTCCTTATAATCCTGCTCATTAAGAAAAAGTAAAATAATTACTTGGGTTAACCACTGAATTTAATGAGATTTTTAAATCAAATTAAAGGGGAAAGTGAATTTAAATTAGACATTGTGTCTAAAATATATGTACACTAAATTTAAGGATCTTTCCCTTCATTTTAAATGACCTAATATTTTATGTTTTTTAAAAAACAAAACATCATTTTCTTCATGGACAAGTAGAAGTTTAAACTGACCCAAAAAAATATATTTATATACATGTATGTAATTCTCTCTCTGTATATATATTTATACATGCATTCCCACTACAAACTGACACCTTATACTCTTGCTTTCCCTATGCTTCCCCTCTGCCTCTAGTAACCACTATAATTTTTAGTCTCAGAGTTATTTGTGATGTGATTTGTTAGTTCATTTCCAGTATTAATTTTAGAAAAAAATGCATATAATTTTCTTATACAGATAGGTTCGATTTGATCTAGGCCCCCAAGAAATTGGGTATCTTTTTCATAAAGCAAACAGTCTCATAAGGAAATCTCACTTAGGACTATAACACACACCTGCGAAATTACTTGCTGACAAACAGCTGTATTTTAACGCAATTTTAGTGGTCAGAATAGTTCATTAAATGACAATACCAAACAGAAAAGGATTTTCCATTAATCTAATTTCCTTTCATAATAGAATAACAGGGTAGATCACAGAAAAGAATACATAAGCAAAGGTATGTATTAGAAGTCATAAATCCTGAGCTTTAGTTCTAATTTTGCCAGTGATGACTGGGCACCCTAGCACAGTGCTTCACAGGGCAGACTCTCGAAAGGAACTGCTGGGATTAACAACCAGCTGTGGGGCCAAGGGTTCACTGTTCAACTTCTGAGCCTCAGTTTCCCCATCTAAAAAATGGGTATAATTACAATGCCCACCTGACAGGGTTGTTTTAGAATTACATAACAAAAACAATAATCCATTTAAAACAGCCCAGAAGCCCTCCCTGTTGGTGCAAGGGGTTAAGTCTCAGCACTATCACCAGCCACTGCAGCACAAGTTCAATCCCCGGGCAGGGAGCTACCCACATGGTGCAGCAGACCTCTCCTGTCTCACCTGCTGCTCCCCTCAGCAGTGTACTTCAGTCTATTTGCCTGGTCTGCTCACCACTCTATTTCTGGTGAATCCGCTCACCCCCTGTACCTTTGGCCTACACCCAGCTCTGATATGCATAAATAAATAATATAAATCTTAAAAATAAATAAAATAACCCAGAGCCTAACAGGGCTCAATAATTACTTTGTGAAATTATTATTTTTGGCTGATGGCCTTGGAAAAGTCACTCACTCTCTTTTACACTTTATCTTTCTCTATGTAATGAGCAGATTCGATAATCACCTTGAATCCCTTTTACTTCTAATATTCCCTAACACAATTCAAGGAAATCACAAGAATACCAGTGCTAAAAGAACTGGTTTGATCTAGACAGTGGTGACTGTTATTAATCAGTATTTATACTGGACATTAAGACAGGCTGCTTACTAATTTATTAATTATAGAAAACATCTTCAATACATATTTTTAAACATGTTATACTCTTCTATTCAATATTACTGAACACATGTATTTTAAATTTACTGAAGGAGTCTAATGAGTTTTAAAGAGGAATTGACAGCATGACTCTTGTTACCAGCAGAATAATTCAGTGGTGATTTGACACATGTTTAAAGAATGAGTCTAGGGAAAGCAGGTCATATCACAATGGATGCCTGGAAATCATTACTGGAAGCCATGGGTGGAGGCGGTAGATCCCATGGAATCTGGATGACCCACCCTGCCTCACCAAAAGCACATATGCTCTCACATGAAGTTCTACAAGGAGAATTTCAAAGTATTAAATGACTCAGTGGTACCCAACACTGCTGCACACTAGAATCATTTGAGGAGCTTTTAAAAACCCTGATACTTAGGCCACACCATATCCTATACCAACAGAAACATAAAGCTTGAGGATAGAGGCAAGGCAACAGTATTTTTTTTAAGAGCTTCAAGTTTTTCCAATGTACACCAAGTGTGGGAACCACTGAGCCAACTCTACTCCTTCTGGACTCTGGAAATGGGCCAAATTTTCAGAGATCTTGACAGCTCACTCTAATCACACAAGAACTCTCCAGCTAATTCTATGAAAGGTGGGTCCTTCCCCACCTTGGTTTTGGAGGAAGAATGTACAACATGTTAACAGTATATTTTGTGACTGAATAATTACCTAGAATAGTGCTCCTCATACCCTAGAGTGGTCCAGAAACCAGCAATGTCACATCACCTGGGAGTCTACTAGAAAGGCAACTTTTTAGGACTCACTCCAGACCTACCAACTAGAATCTCCAGGAGTAAAGCCCAGGAATCTGCCTTAGACCCTCCAGGTGGCTATCATGCCTGCTATGTTTAAAAAGCAATACATGGCTTATTATATCTATATTTCTACATTCACATACATTCTAGTCTTCTGAGTGGAAGGAAAGATCTTTTAGGAGAAAAAAATTCTCAGAAAAAAGGCTTAACGAAAGATCTCCTGTTATTTTATTTCTCATATTCTACCCAGTTTTTATTATTTTTCCCTGACTTATGAGCTCTGAGACGTATATGCACACCACCATCCCTTCCTCTTTCTCGCTCCTTCTTAAATTTCCTTCTGAAATATTCCAGTGTCCTAAAAGTTATAAAGAACAAGGAAATGAACAGCCATGTACTACCAAGTAATTTGTGAAAAATACAGATTTTTTTTTTTTTTATTTCTGGTGAACTGCTTCCTTAAATAATTTGTGGCATAACATAAATACAATCTCTCCATCATTCCCAATGCCTGTTACACACATTATTTTGGTTGTGACAGCCAGAGACTAGTGTCTGCTTGACACTGTGATAAAATAATAAAATAATAATATTTTATCACAATTAAGAAAAAAGGATGTATACATAAGACAAACTTGTTAGTTTGCATGTCTCCAATACTGGTATAAATGTCTTCTTGGTCTTGTTATTTGGACTTCTCATGAAAACTATGATTATGTCTAGAGTTTATTATGATGCTTCAGTTTATTATGATTAATTTTTCTAAAGTGCTATCTGGCTATAAGCCTACTGTGGAATAATTCTTCATTATTTTGTTTTGAAACAATTTATTAAGCTTTTATTCATAGTTGGGCCTATCTCTGAGTCTGCATAGTACTAAGTAAAAAGCAATTCTATTTTTCAATGACTGTTCACTATAGAAATTGTTGCTTTCTGAAATATTCTATTATGTGTTAGAGCTAAACTACTTCTTTTCCAGAACCCTTAAAAAATTTGTAGACCTTTCAGTTTTCCAAATAAATCTCAAAATCACTGTGTCAAAGTTCAAAGCTATGTTCACCTTATTGGCATTTTGATTTGAATTGGTTTATAGTAATAATTTAAGTTGGAAGATTACAAGGGTTATATCTAACTTTTCTAGTCAAGGAACATGACATCTTTGTAAAGGAGAATAAACTATCAAGATTATGTTACATACCTAGAGACACAGCACAGAAACAATCTTTAAGCTCGTGAAAGCATATCACATAGCTAACAATAAACAGATAAACACCTGTTCTTAATTTCCCCTACAGATAGGGCAAGACAGAATGAGATTTAGTTTCATGATTAAGGTTATCTTTTTGATTATGAGAGTTTCCAGACCCTAAAATATATTTTCTCTCCTTGAACAAGTTGATGATGATAACAGATACTGCTAGTAAGGCCTTAAGCTAATTTTTACCATGCATTGTTATATTTAATCCTTTGACAACTCTGAATAGCTAAGAATTCCTGGGACTGAGATGAGAGAAGTCAGGAGGGAGGCCCTCCTGAAGCTTCTTTCCCGGAGAGCTCTTACCCTTTTGGCTACAGAGATCTCTTGCTGTTCTTCCCACTTCTTCTGTTCCTCTCTTACGCGTGCTCTATATTCTGCGAGCTCAGGCAATTCCTCCAGCCAGCGATGACGAGCATTCTGCACAGCTATTTCTACCTGCGGGGTAGCACAAAAGAAGTGAGGTGTAAAATTTCTAAAAGATGTCATTTGCAAATGACAACTATGATTTCATAGGCATTTCGTACCGTGTTGTATCACATTCGTTATACTAACTTCAAGTACCCCCATTTTATCCCAAATAGTGGATTCTAATCCTTCTGTTCTAAATTCCCCATACTGTCCCATGCAAATGTTATGGGAGGTGGTGGGAATCTATAAATTTATCAGATGGCCAGTACTATTTAGAAAGTCTTATACACACCACTATTATTTAGTGCCTTATACTTGGCAGATTTTCCTGCTGTCAAGACTGATTTTGTGACTAAAGAATGAGGGTGATACCAGTTCAGGCAAAAATGTAAGACTTGATAAATTATGAGGGTGATCTGGTTGTAAATCTGTCACAGATTATAACATGGTCATAAATGTATGCGCGCGCACACACACACACTGCGCTGACATGAGAGGCTGCATTTCTCACTAAAATGCTAACTACATTTACAGGTAAATTCCAGAGAAGTTAAAAATATGAGGAAAAGATAAAACTATAGAAATTTACATTCCCTAAAAATTTGAACATTTTCTTTCTACTACAGCATGCTATTCTTCACAAAATCTATAATTTCATAAATTCCAAAGCAGCCCCTTAAATATGTCTTTTTGTCTATAGAATATTGTCTTCACTCTGCTCAAACGTTATAGTAACCATTTCAGGAAATGATTTTCTTAACTAAATGAAGATGTCCTTGACACCATCACATATATTTGCCTATGTTTCCATGCCTTAAAGGGCCCATAAAATCATGTAGAATAATTTAACAAATAAGCAGAATTTCAAGTATTTACCGAAAACTGAGTAACTTTTTTTTTAAGATTTATTTTTATTTATTTATTTATGCATACAAGAACTGGGGTGTAGGCCAAAGGTACAGGGGGGAGCAGAGTGGGGAGCCAAACAGATGGATCTACTGAAATACACTGCTGAGGGGAGCAGCAGGCAAGACAGGAGAGGTCTGCTGTGCCATGTGGATTAGTTCCCTGGCTAGGGATCAAACTCCTGCTGCAGTGGCTATTGAGAGCTTGATACTCCTGAGACTTAACCCTTGCACCATCAGGGAGGCCCAAGCTGAGTAACTTTTTAAAACCTCCTTAAGGTACTGTCTAAAGACTTTGTAGTAAGTGTTAGAGCTAAAATAATAAATTTATAATAAATAATATAAGGATTTTGAGGACCTCTGAGGGATAGAAACACTGTCAAGTAGTCTGTGAGGCCAAAACTACTTTCAAAATAATATTCAGGGCCTCCCCAGTGGCGCAGCAGTTGAGTGCTGGGTTGCGAAGCTGCCCGCAGCCTCTGCACCACCGATTTGATCCCCGGCCACCAGCCGAGGGTCCCACATGGCGCACAGACCTCTCCTGTCTCACCCGCTGCTCCCCTCAGCACTGTACTTGTCAGTTTGCCTGTTCTCCTCTCTGCTCTGGCTCTGGTGAATTCTCTCACCCTCCCGCACTTCTGACTATACTCAGTGCTTTTATAAATAAACGAGTAAATCTTTAAAAAAAATAATAAAATAAAATAAAAAAAGAATTGCTTTTTTAAAAAATAATAATAATATTCAGATTATTTTCTACTCCTACTCTCTCAAGAATTGACAGTACAGGTCTCCAGAGGCTGCATGTTAAGTGATGTGTCACTGCTCTCATAGCCATTGTAATGTTTGAATATTCTTGTTGAAAAATTTATTATATTTTCCTAAACAGTAAACAGATATATCCAGGGAAACAAAACTCTCTAGAGTCCTTAGTATTGGAAGGTATAAAGGCATCCTGAGACAAAATAATTTGAGAATATAGATGAAACTAATAACTTTCTTATTCTGTTAACTAGAATGACATCGACTCACTAAGACATTTCCTGGAAACCAAGCAAGTTTCCCCAGCTTTAAGGGGGCTAGTTTTGTGAGCACCTCCAAGCGAAGGCAAGGGAACCCCTTTTTGCCAGCAGAAGAGATTTATAGACAAAGTCCCATTTAAGGGGCATGCTGACAGATTCATTTCTGCAAATCTTCACAAAAAATATTGGTAAATAACTTATTCACCTCTAGGTGTGCTTATCTGTAACTATCTTAGTAGAATATTTTTTATAAAATGAGATAAAGATTCATAATTAAATTGTGCTTCATTCTATTATTAAACCATTATTTTTAATCTCGGGCATCTTAATGCTCAGACCAACCTAGAGGCGCAAGCAATTTTGAAAACCTGAGGGGTGACAAGACTGTGACAGAAATATAATAAATATTTTAAGAAAAATAATGAAGATTCTCTCCCCTCGAAGGTACAAATATTTTAAATTATAAGATTTGCTCAGAGATAGCATTTTATAGGTTTTCATTAATAGGCAGCTCTAACAATTTTACTATAATAAACCTGCCTATTACCTGGTTGGCAATATTGGCACAATGTTTGAGTTCCAATTCAAGCTCAAGTTCCTTCAAGCTCTCCTTGATTGCTATTTCCTTCTCTTGCTCTAAATCTTGCTGGATCTTTCGTTTCTGCTCTTCTACTGTGATTGCCATCTCTTTCTTGGAAGTAGCATCAATGGTGGCTACTTGGTCAGTTTGGCTGCAACAATCTGAGGTTTTCTTTCTCATTGCCTTTATAGTCTGATCCAGCTTACTCTGCCACTCCTTTTCAAGCTGTTGGATAAGTTCTCGTTTGATCTGTTTTCAGAAGTAAATTCACATAAGAAAAATACTCAAGTAAAAAACTAAAATCAATAGCTAGTCAAAAAAAAACAAATAGAGACAGCTGTGTCTGAAAACCATCTAGACATTGTAGTGAATACAAAAGGTTTAAAATTTTAATGAATGAAAAATATTTTTTCAATTAAGTCCTGAAAGTTACGCTTTGATTTTATCAACATGACATAAATCACATGAATGATACCAGTATACTATTAGGTCAAGCTATCTTGCTCTCAAGATACATTCTCCTGGAAGTCTTGACATAATCACTACAAAGGAGCCATGACAATTTTTAAAAAAGGAAAACTTTTGCTATTAAGATGTTTTTCGGTCAATAATAGGCTTTTCACAAAACAGGCATTCAATTAAGTCTAACTATTGAACCTAAAATTGAATAATCTGAACAAGTTTTCTTACTGAGCATATTAGAATCTTCTTATTAAATAGTTAGGATACTAAATACTTCAAGTTCTACCCACAGTGTGTTTACATGTTCTTCTCTTTCCTCCACTAGTTTTCTTAAATAAAATTTAAGTAAATATCTTTGTACAGTACTAATAGACTACAAGTTAAAGTTATAAAATAATGGCTCTATGCAAGTAATAGAGACAAGTGATCTTCTGAAATGATAACTCTATTGGTTGAGTAAACTGTCTTGTAAAAGCCTGCTTACATTTTAAACGCTTAGATTTTTTTAAAATCTAAGGATGGCTATATGAAAATATAAATATCTAATACAACAAATATATTTTCAGGAGAACAAATACATTTTTTAAATGTGAAGCTGATATTTCTATTATAGGCCACTCATCCTGATACCCCTCAAGTATCATAGCCAAGGAAATATTTACATTTCTGAGTCTATCGTTCTGTCCTAAAAGCTTAGAATCCTGTGATAAATCCAGCTTAGTTTGTGTTCCATTATCAAAGATGAAATTTTTAAATCAAAACTACTAAAGCATTATTGAATAAAAACTATCAAATGTCCTTTGAAATTTAATCATTTGAACAATTAATACAATATTCACTATTTGGCCTAGGAACCCAGATGGTCTGAAGAATCCCTGGTATTCTTTTACATTATTGCAGACAGACCTCTACTCAAGGATCAAAATTAACTATGAGAGTGTTTCTGGTTGAGAATTTTAAGTGGTTTTCTGGCAGTCCTACTGAGATGCCATGAGACGTCGTCATACACTGATATCAACAAATGACAACACAAAGCAGCAGACCTGACCCAGTTCCAGCAGCGCAGCCACGGGCGCTCAGCTTGCATCTCTTGGCATTATTTCTAACCCATGACTCTAGTTGTCTGTTGTTTTTTTCTGGTTCATAGCTGATCTTAGCATTCCTGTCTTAAATGCCATCTTATGCCTCTATACCACTATACATGGCAAGAATGTAGCTCTGCTTGAGTTGCATGATTTTGGCAAATTTCCAGTGATTGTGGAACCCACTTCTTCACAATTAGGTCCAGGGGATCGCAGTTATACTAAGACGATAGGATGGTCTCAGTCACATGGTTGAGGAAGTTGTCCAGTGTCACATCACATTTTTTTGACTGAGGAAGGAATCCCCAAATTGTGTGTCCTTCAGGAGCTGTTTCCACACATACCCACATTTACTTTTGGCCTACAGCAGAAAATTGCTACTAATTTTCCTGGTGTTTATGAGTATGTCAGTTACCTTGGGTGCCTACGAAAGTAGCTGTTTTGGTCTAAGCCAACTCAGCTGATATCTATAGGCAACTGGGCTATAAGGTCTAGAATGGACTCGCTCACAAGTCTAGTTAGCTCCAGGTTCACTGTACTTGGGTCACATGTGTCATCATCCAGCAGGTTACACCCCATCATTCTCATGGTGGTGGGTAATCACAGTGTTCCTAAGGGCATCACGCTTGTAAGACCCAATGCATCAATACTTCTTAGGCCTCTTTTTTTTGCATAATACTTGCTAAAGACCCATTGGCCAATATAAGTCATGCAGCCAAGATCAGATTCAACAGATGAGAAACAGACTGTACGTCTTAAAAAGGGTAGCTACAAAGTTCCATTGCCAGGGACACACATTCAGGGATGGAAAGAATGTGTGGTCATCTAATACAATCTACCACGGTGAGGAAAACCTTGTTTCCTTTCTTTTCAGAGAAAAAGTCATACATTTATTGGCCTTTAAGGATCTGCCATTTGAACATGCTGTAGAAATACTCAATTCAGAAAGTTTTACCATTAAAGGGAAGGAAATATTTAGATAGTTTTAAAATATTTAAACTTGATTTGTAGGGATTAAACAGGGAAAAAAAAGGTTCCTACTAATGAATGACTGAGTGGGTATTAAAATGTATAAATAAATTCTAATGTGTAGAGGAACACCATTAAAAATGAGAATATCTATCATCTTCGCCTTGCCTGCAAGTTTGAAGGATTCTGTGTAAGTGATTTTTTTTTTTTTCCCCTTTTCTCTGAACAAGCCATGTTAACATGTGAGACAAGTTCTATATGTTAACAAAAGCTTTAAAATTCTGAATTGACCCACAGCTTGACTTAAGAGTTTCAGAAAAGAAGACATGAAACAGGAAAATATAGCCTTGGACTCTTAGTATTTCTGTCTTACAAATTGTGTATACAGACTAAATTTCTCATCTGAAGGTCAGCCACAGGGAAAAATTGCTTATGTCCTGCAGTCTTGGACTCTTGGTATTTCTGTCTTACAAATTGTGTATACAGACTAAATTTCTCATCTGAAGGTCAGCCACAGGGAAAAATTGCTTATGTCCTGCAGAAAAGGGTTACCCCAAAAGTTTCCTTGCTTACTCCACAGTTTAGTAAGTCCTTCCCTCAGGAGTGAAACATTTCCTAGAAAAACAGATTGGTTGCTATACCTCCTACCACAGGAGGATGGTCTCTTTAATTCAAATAAATTCTGTTCTGACTCTTAAATTCAATAAGTCTATTTTAAAATTCAAATAAGTTCTGTTCTGACCCTTAAATTCAATAAGTCTCTTAAACTCAAATAAGTTCTGTTTGTCTAGTTTTTAAAGACTACCAAGACTTATAAAGGGTTTATGTAAGTCTAAATAAAAAAAAAAAAAAAGTAAATAACTCCCAGAGAAAGAATTAAAATTTTAATGCTTTAAATATGCCGGCCCTTGAAATGGGGGGAAGGAGTCATAACTACAAAGGGATAGCACTTACACAAGGGAGTTTTAGGATATTGAAACTCTTCTGCATCCTCATCAATCTATACATGTTGAAAATGTATAGAACTATAGATGAAAAAGTTAATTTTACATATGAGAATTTTTAAATTTTAAAGGAAAAAATAGAACCTTTCAGATTTTTGGATTGGCCAAATAGCAGCTTTCAATTTCCTTCTTGCACCAGTGCAAAAGCAGTCATAAGCCAAAATATGAGTCGAGCACAGCAATTAGTTGCCACTGACCCATTATGAAATCCAAGTTTACAGCAAATTAATGTTTTTAAAAGTACTAGAAAATAGATTCCTGGAAAGAATGATCTCCTTGAAAGAACAGCTCTTACGTTCTTGCTAATTTATGTATTTTTTTTCTAGTCACAACCATATTTTTAAAAATCTGCAATGGGAACTTTTTTAGTTGTAAGGCTTTATCGCCTTACTCCCATGACCAAGTTCAGTTTTATACTCAGCATATTTTGTCTTTAGTAATAGGAAAATATCAAAAAAGCTGTATAGAACGTATGCTAGATTGGTTGCAAGCAATAAAGCATTTTTAATTGCCATTTGTTTTGCTGCTGAAGCTTTTGCAGAGAATTGTGTTCAGTGGGTCTTTGCCCATATGTATTTTTTAAAAACAAGAAAAAAAGAGACAATCACACTAAAGGTCTTCTCTCTACTTTAACTTTTAAACCCTTATTGAAAATTAAGTCCTCAATTTCAAGGTAATTTAAGATTCCTTCTAACTTTTATACTGCCAGCACTAACTAAAACAGCTCCCTTTAGAAGCTTTTTCTCCAAGATGATATGTATACATGGTAACATATTGTATTTGCTTTTTAACTATATTAACCTATCCAAAATCAATCAACCAAAATATTAAAAGTACAAAATTCTTCTTCACCTGCTCTTTGTCAATCTTTCTGAGTCTATAGTAGCAATAACTAGCTTTAATAAAATTTTCAGAAACCTCAATATAGAATATTTACTCAAGCCTTTTAAAAACATTTTCTAATCTTGATGCAGGTGCTTTGCACCTGTGGTCTGCAAGCTGGTCCCAGGTGAAAAGTCAGATGTATCTGGATGGGGCTCAGGCCAAAACAGGGAAGAGAGGAGGCGGCACAACTGTTTACATGTGAGTCTATTCCTGGACTCTCACCAATGGCCACTTGGACGACTCAGGCAGGATTAGAGCGGACTGGAGCCTCTCCACCTTCCCTGAAAAAATGTTTTCCTGAAGGAGGTCATACTAACCCTGCGACCTTTCTCTCCACAGCCTGTGTGGCACCACCTTCCCTATCATGAGACTCAGGCTAGGATCTGCCCTTCTCCCCAGAAGTAAATACCAATTAGGTATTGAAAGGGAAATGAGTCAGAGGAAAATGTCTCAAGGGACTACGCAGGGTCATGTAAGAAGCCAGCAAAGGAATGCAAAAAAGATCGTTAGGTTTCAGACTCTAAGTGACTCAGGTCCACTTTTGCTTATTTTTAGGACTTTTTATTTTTGCCTTTGAGAATAAATCTATTTTCTCCTTTCTGTGTGTCATTTTTACTAAGGTTTTAATAATCATTTCAGTATTTACTGTATTTTGTGAACTCTGTTAGTGGGATAGAAGCAAAGGGGCTCCAAACTCTGCCTTCCCATTTCACAAGAGAACAAGAACACTAGTTTAAATGCCAACAATGAGGCCAAAGAAATGGAGTCAATGCAACAAGAACTTATACTGCACCTTCTGCTCCTGAGTCTGTTGCTCCTTTTCAAAGGTCTTCCTGAGAGTCAATTCGAGATTATCCTTCTCTCTGCACACTTCTAGGTAACATTCCTGCACAGCAGTCATCTCCTTATTCATCTTGTCTAAGTCAGACCTTGGATATACAAAACCAGCAACTAAATGACCACAAAAAATACAAGGGCTGCGGAACAAACAATTTTCCTCTAAATTATGGAGTAGGGGAATGTTATCACTACAGCTTGTAGGGCAATTAAGCTTGTTTAGTCTCACCTAAGTTGCAAGCGAGTCCCCTCATAAGCCTCAAAGAGCTGCTGCTTCTCCAAAGCATGTTTTGCTAACAGGCTTTCACGTATTTGAGCTTTCATAGCTTCATGATGCTGCTGGTAAGTCCTCTCACACCTAGAAACAGACAATGGACGATGGCAGTTGCCTAACATTACTTTAAGGCTGTACCCACGTTACTAGATACATGGTTCCCCTTCCTTCCTTCCCACTTCTTCCCTCTATATAAATTATAATAAAGGTCTACAACCAAAAGTAGTAATAATATACAGCAGATGTTTTTATTTAAGAATTCTTCAAATTTTCTTTCTTCAAGTATTTCCTTGGACGTGAGAACACCCCAGTCTTTAAAATAAAGCTAATGATTGAGGTCTTGTTGATTAAAGAAAAAATTAACTGGAATAATGAAGTGTACAGGTCTATATTTCCCAATCATCTATATTAAGTACAAATACTAGCAGCACCCACTCACAAGTAAGTTATGTTCCAAAAGTCTGTTTCCAAATTTATGATTTCGTATTTGGGAGACATGCTCCCTCTCTCACAGATTTCTTCCTTATAAAGAAGAGTTTCCCCTGACAAGCCTCTAAAAAAGCATTAAGCTATATTATTGCTGGGAACGTCAGTTTTAATGGTGCTATAGAACCCAGCAACTACATGACATCATTTCTATAGAAAACGTGTTCCAAATTCTAATTTGAGAAGCCAGGATTCACTTTCTCCAATCCAAGATCTCAACAGAGAGGGTTCACATAATCATTTCTCGTGACTCCTTCTTGAGAAGATACACAGGGAGGGAGAAGAAAGAAGGGCATTAGGCTTCTGGACAGAACATACCTCTCTACAGCTTCTTGTTTATCACGGTCAAAATCTTGTACCATCTGTCTCATTTGGTTACATAAGTGTTGATTTTTATTTCTCAGTTTTTCTTCAGTTTCTTTAAGCTCCTAAATACAAACAAATAAGATAGTTAGAGGAAATAAACATCATTAGCATTGATTTATCTAATCTCATTTTTAAACATCCTGTGATGTATTGCTATTCTAACATTTGACATTATATTATTTTCATAATTCTACAAAAGGAAAAAGTTTCTTCATACCTTGATAAAAGCACAGACTTTCTGATAAGAGTACGGATTAGCATTTTGCATTTATTTTGAAATATATGCAAGGAAATCATTTAGCCACGGTATAGCTAATGGATGCCTTAAAATAGTCTTAGAATTCAATCACCTTCAGCAATCATCTAAATAAGCACGGTTTTCCATTTGGATCAAGGCCCAGCTATGGAGGAAAGAACACCTTTATCACCCATGCTACTATATCAGAGAGGAAACTAGATCACACCAACTTACCTTCTGATGAAATTATTACCACATACTAGTAAAGAGAAATAACTAGAATCCTTAATCATCTACTAATATACTTACTTGTTTATCTCACATTGTCTGTGTATTTTCAAAAAGTCTCATGCAGTTTTTGAATCTAATGAGGATACAAAAATTCTCACAAATAAGGAAGTATTTTAGTCACCTGATTATGTTGTTGTAAAACTTGAATTTCATTTTTCAGTTGCAGAATATTGTCTTTGACCATCATGTCAGAAGTAGAAGAGTCAGGCCACAATTGATTAGTTGATTTTTCTGAGATATTTGTTTCAGTCTAAATATTCAAAAGAGGTCAAAATTTTTTCAGTTATTAAAAAATTCTCTAAGTATTCATTTTGAAATAAGCTCATACTTACAAAGAAATTGCAAATACAGCACAAATAATTTCTGTATAGTTTCACCACCTTCCCCAGTGGAAACACAGTTAACTGATCTAAGCCTGGAAATTAACTAGGATTCAATACTTTTAACTGATCCATAGCCCTGATACAAAAATTTCCAGTTTTCCTTATTTTCCTTTTTATGGTTCATGATCCAATCTACAATTTCATATTGTACTTAGTTGTCACATCTCATTAGTTTTCTCCAATTGAGGACTGTTTTTCAATCTCTGACTTTCAAATGCATGACATTTTTGAAGAGTACCAACCATTTATATTGTAGGATATCCTTCATTTGGATTTTACTGATATCGCTCATTAGTAAATTCAGATTACGCATTTTTGGCTTGAATTCCACAGAACTGATATGTGAGCTTTTCAGGAGACACATGACATCAATATGTCTCATCACTAGCGATGATCAATTAATCAATTAATGAAGGTGTGGTCAGCATATGCTGACCTCCATATAAAGTTACTGCTTTTCAATTTGTAATTAATAATGCTCTTATGAGATACTTTGAGTCTATACAAATAGCCTTTTTCACCCACTACATTTAGCATTTATTTTATTTCAATATTTATTTATATAATCAGTATTGCCTGACAGATACATATTTTATTTAATATGTACAATTTTTTAAGACTCATGATGGACTCTGACAAGTTGTTACTACAAAGGTCATACAAATATATACTGTCAGGGAGTGCTTAGCTTGTCCCACTCACTTTACCTCCAACAGTAGTGACTCTAAGTACAGATTGTCTTGGATGGGGAAAAGGGCCCCGAACAACTGCTTCCCTTTGCACATCTTGTATTGCATTGGAGGAAAGCCTCTTATGCACCATTAGTGTTTGTTTATTTTTTCATCTTCCCAAGTTTGCCTGTTCATGTGGCTTTGCACATTTCCCGCTTACCTCCTGTTTTCCTTACCAATTTGTATGAGTTCTTTATTCATTGAGAGGGTCACAAAGGTTTTTTTTAAGTACCTATTCTAGTGGACTTGCTGGTTTTATTTACCCAGACTCTTGAGTTTTCTTTTGCAATGTTGAAAAACTATCCTGGCCCAAGTTTCATTCTACTCACTAGGGGAGTGGGATGCAAGTGAAACCTCCCTCCCCTGTGGGGGGACAGCACACTGAGGCTTCGGCTCAGACTCCCAGTTCAGTGTAGAGCTGCAGAGTCTTCCCTTTCTCCAGAGAGAGACTGCACCATTGTTGGCTTTCCCATGTTCCCATGACATTATTTCCCAGATGTCCCTGCTCCTACTCCAGTCAGAAGAGACAAAAACTAAGAATACCTACTCTTTTAGTTTTCTCAGATTTAGGGGCATTAAGAAAACTTTAAAGGATTTTACCAACTCATTAGAAAGATTTTTTTTTTTTAATTTGGCTACTACTTTTTGAACTTTATAATATGCACTTGTGGTTCTTTCCCCACTGGTGGGTTTTTTTTTACTAGGAGTGAAAGCAACATCATACTGATACTCTGACATGATTTTCAGGGCCAGCTATTAATTCAGTTATGACATACTATCGCACTGCAATCATGAGCACAAGACCCATATGAAGATCTTTAAAAAGGATCACTTAAATATCACAACAAAATTTATTTCTACAGGTAAAATACTAAAGACATTATCTTCAAGAAAACAAGAAGTATAATACACCAACTCTCATACTGTCTTCATAATTTCTATGTCTAAAAATTGATATTGATATTGACATTGAGACCTCTAAATTTTTTGGGCCTCATTAAAGATTTCAGAAATAATGAACGTATATAAATAATATAGACTTCTAGTCACATGCCTTGCTGCCTTGTTATACCAGCCTATTTGCTACATCCTTTCATTTACTTGTGCTCAAAGGTGAAATGTCCTTTCCTATCTTTTCTCCTGGATTTTTCCTTCAGGAGCGAGATCAAATGTTTTATCCTTAAAGACTCCACTAAGGCTGACTAATATCTATCTCCACACCCATCAAATTAGTTACAACTTCTCACAGCACTTCAGTAACCATTATCAACCTTATTGCAAGTCCATCTCCTTACAGATATGTACTGCTAAATATGGGAGACATTAACCACATATGGTTATGATGATTTGAAATGTGGTTTGTCCAAATTGAAATGTAGAAGAAATTACATGCCAGATTTCACACACACAGATGCAAGCCATTTCATTAATAACTTTATATTATTACATATTAAAAAGATATTTTGTATATGTGGGTTAAAATATTAAAATTAATTTCACTTATTGCTTTCACTTTTATGGAACTACTAAAGGTTTTAAACTATATATGTTTATATTGTATTTCTATCAGATAGAGCTGCTCTAAATTCTAAGTTCCCTCAAGGAATGGCCATAGTTTCTTTCTTCACTGAATCCATAAAGATTAGTGCTAAAGAAAAAAAAATTTGGACTGAATGATTTGCTCTTCCTCTACATAGCTGCCAAGTCTGTTTTCTAATTTTACAGACTAAACAGAAAAGCTCCATCAGATAACATTTGAGAAATAAGAGGCAAAGGCAAAGTTTGATGGTGTCCATGGGCTAATTAAATGTGAATTTGAGTATTTAAAAAAATTTTTAATTACTATTTCCTCTCTCCCATTCAGTAAGCAGATCAATAAAAGTGCATACTAATTCAACATATATTTACTGAGCAAATATGCAAATACGTATCAAGAAAATATTCCTAAGAAATTCCTTCATAATGAGTTGAAACAGAAAAGACATAAGCTAGAAAGGCTGTCAAAAGACACAAAATGGTTTATAGTTGCTTGTTGGGGGTGCAGGAGAGGAGGGATTAGGGTCAAAATAAGGGGGGAGGGAATTATATGGGGAATATAACCAAGATGAAAATGTATACATTGAACAAAAACAAAAAATACTATAAAAAATATATAAAATAAAAAAAGCCATAAAGATTAAAAAAAAAGACACAAAATGTAGACTGCTGAGAAATCATGAACACAAAGTAGTTGGAAACAAAGTGTATTCAAAGATGAGAGAGCTGCATTTGATCTACTGATCAATCTTTGATCTGCTGATCAATCAAACTATAGACACAAAAGGAAAGGCTAAGAAAAAGAAACAAAAGGCATGGCAACCATCAACCGCCACATATGTGAAAATCTATCTGTAGAGCCCCAGCCCTGGGTAATTTCAACAGAAAACAAAGCAAGCATCGTGAAACCTGTGCTAAGGTTTAGAGCACAGAAGAGGTCCTACTCTCCTAAATCACGGGCCACCCTAACCAAAATACTTCAACTAATCAGTTTTGATCTTACAGTAATTGGGACAGGAGCTTTTATTCCTATTCTTATACGAAACATACGGACACAATTAAAACAGCTTGATTTAAAGATGTTAAATGTGCTGGGGGGCAAGGAGGTTATTTTCATTTGCTTGTTAACACTGAAACCAATCTTGTCCTCATCAAACACAGTTATACAGAAGAAGGAACCAGACTGGGCAGGAAGCACACTATTATTTCTGGAAAATAAAGTAGACACAATTAAAATTTTATGCTAAAAATTACCATAGAACATCTTGCATACTTTGCTTTAAATGGGACTGTTTTAATGAGCACAACTCCTAATTCACAGGACCAGCAGACAAAACAGTACTGAAACAGGAAGCAAAGAATTTTTCTGTCAGGACCACATTACCTACATTTATTTTACCCCTGCCCTTTCCTTTTAGTTACTAACTTTTTAATGTATTGTTTTCTACTAAGAGTATCTATAAGTTGGGACTATAAAATACACGAAGGTGAAAGGCAGCTATTAAAGCAGAACCCTAGGGGTCTCTGAGATAGCATGAACTTGGGGGAATAACCTTGACCTACTTATTAGTCAATGGTTTTAGTTTCAATTGTCCTAAAGACCATAACCTCACCTGGGTCACAATCGTCTCTAGCTTCATTTTCCTTCTCTATCAAGTAAGGTTTCTAATGGAATGATATAAAGGTGGATTTTAATTGCACTGCTGTACTCTGAATCTGCGCTTTTCCCACCTGAGACACCCATACTTTATAACTCATGTCCTTATACAGAATGAGGTGTTATAGGAAAATGGGCCAGAGAAATTGCATTTATAAAATGCTAATGGATTTCACTGTGCAAAATTTAACTAGATTTTGGAATACTGGTAGTAGAAGCCAATCTTGAGGAAATGCAGATACCTTACTATGCAGAATGCTTCTTTGGATTTGTAGTAAAGGAATTTACCTAACTGGCATCTCATTTACTACGAACCAAGAGTAACCAGAAAATATATTTCTTTAAGCTGCATTTCCTTCTTTAAACTCTACTTCTAAAAAAAATCAAGTGAACTCCTGAAAGACAAAGGTTTAATTTAAATGTGAAACTTGTGTTTCCTTTAATAAGCCTTTTAAAAGTGGCTTAACTCTACAAACATTACGAACCTCAACTTCGACACTTTTTCCCTCCTTCACTTGTCGGAGATCTTCAATTTTCTTCTGACAGTCTTTGAGATCATTCTGTAACTGAGACACCAGATGACGCTTCACGGAGTTGCTACCCAGCAAACGGTGCACTTCTGCTTTCAGCTTCACAATGACCTCGTCTTTGGAGAGCTCTTCATTTGGGTCTTCTTGCTGTACCATGCTAATGGAGAAATTGTCATGTTTAAGATTAAATTAGGTAATAAATCAGGCATGTTTATTCCTTAAAAGCAATGAATTGCAATAGTTTTGTGACCTATATAACACGCGTAAGCTTTGACATATGAGGAATATTCAAGGAATCACCTTCGCATGTCCCTGTACACATAAGTTTATGCCTAGGAAGACCATTAAGCTTAGCCCTGCTGTCTCACTAAAAGTTCAGCCTTGTGAACTTTAATATGGTTTATTTATTTATTTATTTGTTTGTTTGTTTGTTTATTTAAAACTGCATGCTATATATCTATATATATGTCCTTTATAATTCCAAGAGAAACAATCTAAAAATAAGAGAAGGAAGAGAGTAGTAAGCACTAGCTGCCCTAGCCAGCAATTTCTGCTCTCTTTTATTAAAATACAAATTTGAGTGGACATTTGAGCAAATGAGAAAAAAAGTAACAAAAATAAAAGCCACACCAAAGACCAGATTGATCAACCTGTTTTTAAAAATAACTAGAAAACCAAGTAAAATACCTAAAACAATAGTTTTCAACATTAGACAACAGGTAGCACAGCACAGTGATGCTTATAAAGAAGAAAACAAGCAAGGTAAGCCCTGTGAATGCCACAACTTCCTGCTCGGAAAGTTTCTAGGCTGTTGCACAGGGAGAAGAAGCCCAAAGATCATACAGCAATCCCAACAAGTTGCAAAGAGGTCAGCTGTGGAAGGCCAAAAATGGCTAGAATTTGAAGAAGGGAAATACGGAGGGAAAGCTATGGAAAGCTACATAGAAAGAGGGCTCCAGAGATCTGTGCATACACTTGAGGAAATTAACTCACAGACAGGGAAAGAACCACAGAAAAGGAATAGAGTTGGGGACATTCTGCACTGCAATGAGCTATAGTGGAAAGATCTCCTAATTCACTGACCATCAAATATTGCCTCAGTAATTAGGGCCAAATTAGCCTCAGATTAAAGGCTACTTTAAATCAGAACTAATAAAGCCAATAAAGAAAGCCCTGAAAGGATCACATACATGCCCAGTAACATAAGTGTGTCCAAAAATTAATAATGGTATTTTTTTACTTATAATAAAAATAAACATGATGAGAGAAATTTAAGATACAAAAAAGAACCAAGTTGGACTTATATAGAGAAAAAATTATAATATCTAAAATTAATATACTAGATGAGAGTAACAGTATAAGTTAATCATGAGGTTAATTTGGAAGCATAAACAAGCAAGAATAATCAGGGAAAACTCTAACAAGAATGACAATTCCAGATTGGTAGTAAAACTAAAGTACAAGGGCCTCCTTAGTGACGCAAGGGGTTAATAAGCACAACACTATGAAGCTATACACAGCCACTGTAGCATGAGTTCGATCCCTGGCCAGGGAGCTACCCACATGGCGCAGCAGACCTCTCTTGACTTGCCTACTTCTCCCCTTAGCAGTGTATTTCAGTCAGTCTGCCTGTTCTGTTCCCCATTCTGTCTCTAGAGAATCCTCTCACTCCCCACACCTCTGGCCTGCACCCCAGTTCTTGTATGCATAAATAAATATTTAAAAAAACTAAAGTACAAGACAAAGTAATAAAGCTTTTAGAAGGCAGCATAAGAGAATCATTTCATGACCTTGAAGTAAGGAAAGGTTTCTTAAAAGAAGCATAAAGGTATAGCAAAGCACTAACATAAAGATTGATAAATTCAACCACACTTGAAAAAACTTCCACTCATCAAAAGACACAGTGAGATTAAAAAGGCAAGTCAGAGTAAGAGAAAACATCTGCAATACACATAACCATCAAAAAGCTCATACCCATAACAGGTATTTACAAACAAAACAACAAAAACTACAAATTGAGAGAGCATACACACATCAAAAAAAAAGTCACTTAAAAACAGAGAAGGGACAAGAAATAGTATCTCTCTCCATCCCTTTTCTCTTTCTCTCTCTCTCAAGCAACCAAGAATCATAAGACATATTTTTTAATGAACTCAATCTTAATAATCCAAGATAATACAAAGTAAAAAATAAAATATCACTATACATTAAATGGCTAAAACTAAAAGACTGATGATATCAAGTGTTACCAAGGAGAAAGAAAAACTGGCTTTTATATACTTCTGGTGAGGACACAAATTGGCACAATTTAAAAATCTCTTCGGCACCAACCATTAAATTTGAAACACATGTGTGCACCTCTTCATATATACCCACTTCTAAGCATATACCCAATCAAAATATCCCAGGCATGCAAATAAGCAGGAAAGAAAATACGAACCATAAATAGAAGAAATATCAATCAATAAAAACTGACCCAGGAATGACACATACAATAGAATTAACTGAACATATTGCTTATATATATACTTCTAAGTATATATACCAGAAAGTAACATTGAAAATATATGGAGTGTAGAATGCAAAATATTGTGGAATATTCATACAAATAAACACATTCATCCACACACACGAATGAGCTATAGCTACATGCTACAACATGCGTCTCACAAAAAAAATGTTGAGTAAAGAAAGTCTAAAGAACACCTTTCTCTATTAAAACAACAAAAAAACCTCACAGCTAATATTCATGCTAAATGGAGAATGACTTTAACACTTCCTAGTAAGATCAGATTAACCATTCTTCAAAATGCTAAACATAGTTATGCTATGACTCAACAACTCCACTCCTAGATAGATACATAGGTGATTGGTAGATAACAGATATATGATAGGAAAAAAAAAAAGAAAACATATGTCCACACAAAAAGTTGTATACAAATGATCATAGCTGCATTAGAAACAAGTCAAATGAAAGTCTATCAGCTGATGGGGCCTCCACAGTGGTGCAGCGGTTCAGCACTGGCTTGCCAAGCTGCCCGCAGCCTCTGCAGTACCGGTTTGATTCCCGGCTGCTCCCCAGCCACCGGAGGAGAGTCCCACATGGCAAGCAGACCTCTCCTGCCGCCAGCTGCTCCCCTCAGCAGTGTACTTTGGTCCTTCTGCCTGCTCTGCTCCCCGCTCTGGCTCTGGTGAATTCTCTCACCCTCCCGAGCTTCTGACTGTACCCAGTGCTTGTATAAATAAATAAATAAATCTAAAAAAAAAAAAAAAAAATTTTGCTAAAAAAAAAAAGAAAGTCTATCAGCTGATGCATGAATAAACAACATGTATATTTATAAAGTGGAACTTTATCCAACTATAAAATGCAATTAAGTAATAACATGCTATAACATGAATGAATCTTGAAAGCATTATGCTACGAGAAATAAGTCAATCACAAAAGATCACATAGGATTCCATTTATGTGAAAGGTACAGGGCAGGCAAATCCATAGAGAAAGAAAGTAGAATAGTGATTGCCTGTGAAGACAGGAAGAGGTAAAGGAAAATAATAGATTAGTAATTCATACTGGGTTCCTTTTGGGTGATACTGAAATGTTGTAAAATTAGGTTGTGGTGATGTGTGGTATCTGCCAGAAAGACAAATACCACAACAAACCACATTGTTTGCACAACAATGTGAATATACTAAACAGCCTACATTTCAAAGGCATTTTATGGCATTGAATACAGTTCAATGAGACTAGAGAAGGAAAAAGAAACACCTAATGCATTCCCTTGATATAAATGCAAATTTAATCTATTATGTTTAGGCATGAATAATTTGGCCACAAGAGAAAAACACACCCCAGAAAATTTGTCATAACAGTTTAGATAGTAGTTAACTCAAGGTTACAACTTGAAAAAGGAATTAGGTAATGCTGGCAATGCTTATTTCTTGACCTGGTGTGGCATTCCATTGGTATTCACTTTACAAATTATTCATTAAGCTGTATGCTGATGTTTTATGCAACTTCTTTATGTGCTGTTTTTCCCAATTTCAAAGGCTTTCAAAAGTAAAAAGTCCTAGAGAAATAACAAATCACAAGGGGCAAAGAGTGATGGCTATAACTACATAAAAATTGTAAGCAGGAAAAGTGATGGTCACAAACTCTGGCCAGGGAACAGTGATACAAATACTGTCACATGATGCAGGTAATAATGTAAACTATAGAGCTGTTTGATATGGACCAAAAGCCCCAAATATATGCACATCTTAAGGAAATAATCAAAGATGTGAGTAAAGATGACCATAAGGATGCTTATGATAATAATATTGCATTATTTGTAACAATAAATTTTAAGTGGTTATTACCCAAAATATAGTTTACTTATATACACATCCAAAAATATATAAACTGGGACGACATCAGAATAAAATGGTTCTGTACCGTGAAAGAAGCTGTCACTGAAACAAAAACAAACCCTACTGAATAGGAGAAAACATTTGTATACCATACGTCTGACAGTGGACTAAGATCTAAAAGAACTCATAAAATGCAAAAAAAGATATCAAAAAAATCAAAAACTAGGCAGAAGAGCTAAATAAGCACTTCTTCAAAGACTTAGAGATGGCACTGGTACATAAAAAAAAAAAAAAATGCTCAGCATCACTTATCAACTACAATGAGATACCACCTCACACTTGTGAGAATGGCCCATATCAAAAAGATCAGAAACAACAAGTGTTAGCAGCGATGTGAAAATCCCTCTTATACTTTGGGAATATAGACTGGTCCAGACCGCATGGCAAACAATATGGAGATTTCTCAAAATATTAGAAATGGATGTACCATATGTCCCAGCAATTCCTCTCCTATGTTATCTATCTGGAGAATACAAAACCACTAATTCAAAGGGAAATATGCTCTGCTATGTTCCACACAATATGGAACACTACTCAGCTCCTAAAAAAGATAAACTCTTGCCATTTGTAACAACAGGGATGGAATCAGAGGACATTATGCTAAGCAAAATAAGTCAAAGAGAGAAAGACAAATACCAAATGGGTCACATAAAGTCAAACTAATAGCAAACCATGTCAATTTGACTGTTTTATTGAAGCTGCCAGAGGGAGAAGGGGAAAAGAAGGGGCCAGAACAAAGTGAGGAGGGAGCTCCATGGACTACAGTGAAGAACTTTGGGTGATTTTATGGCATGTGCGGTGTGGTAACAATACCTTGAGGGGGAGATCCTATGCGTCTAAATTACAATAAAAATTGTAAGTCATTTTCATCTTGGTTATAAAGGAAAAAATGATATAAAAATATATATAAAATTAAAAAAATAATAATAAATTGTAAGTCAATGTTAATCAGTAAAAAATAAATAGAGAATAGTCTACTTTTAAAAGAGAAATAAATAATAGTCTCTAAGTTAATATTTTTACTGTTTTCAGTTTCAGGTGTCTTCAAATGAAATATTATAATATAAAAACATCTGGATTATGGACACACACATATGCAGAGAGGGAAGAGGAACACTGGGTTTAATTTTTCAACATATAAAAGGAACTCCTGGTCTGAGTTTGATAGCTGGCCAGGGAGATACCCACATGGCACAGCAGACCTCTCCTGTCTCACCCACTGCTCCCCTCAGCAGTGTATTTCAGTAGTTCTGTTCCCCACTCTGTCTCTGGTGAATCCTCTCACCACCCCCAACCCATACCTCTGGACTACACCTCAGTTTTTCTACACAAAAATAAATAAAATTTTTTAAAATTGTTTAAAAAGAATGAGAGGAGCACCTTACAACACACTACATATTTATCAAATGCACAACTTTTGCATATGTAATCTGTACGGTACAAATATTTGTATACATAGATCTCATCTATTTCAACTACATCATTTATATAGAAATAGAAGGAAAAGATATACAATAACATAAGAAATAAAATATATTACAATATATCTTCCTGTGCTGTAAGACATGGTGAACTAACTTGAAGCAGAAATGTTTATTTTGCCTAGTTAACAAATTGCAAATCCCTCATTTCTTTTCCTGCTGAATGCTGACCACTGAAATGGCACATCATGTACTCCTTGAGAAAGCCAAGTCAGAGAGCAGAGAAAATTGCTTGCTAAAATAATTTTCTCTTTTTTCCCAAAAGGGAAAAAGCCAGCAGTGGTGACCAGTCCTGCATAAGGCTCACGACTGAACCCTTGGAAGTCAGTTCCCCTAAGTCCAAATAAACTGTAGTCCCTTATGAAGCCTGCTGAGAACACCAAAGGGAAAAAGCATTCCACTTGTTAAATGTTTATTATTTGAGCTTCACAGCCAACTATAATAAGGGAAAGGGGAAGCCGTCTGCAAGCTGCATGCAGATTTAGCTACTCAAATTCCATGAACGTGAAATAGAACACTGAAGCTGAATCTTTAAACTTTACTAGTGAGTAGCTTGAGGCAGGTGGTGGTTGGGAATAAAAGTTTGGGGCCACTAACATTTGGGTCATTGATTTGAAAGCAGCTCAAGTCAACAAAGAACTAAAATTCTTGACACAGGGAAAAGTGTTGCTTCCTCTAAGAATCACAGTCTAGCCTCCTTCTGAACTGCAGAATTAAAATACAGACTCTCTAAAACCTACTGATGAGCAAAAGCTTCAGGATACTTAGGTATTTGTACTGCATGGCATGGACCCTAAAACACAATAGCGAAGAAACAGTCTCACTAAAAATAAAGATGGTGAGCTCAGTCTTAAACCATAAACCAGACCTATGAGCCAAATGCATCTGAGAAAGGTTTTCTTTAGCATGAATGCAATCTTTTCCAAATAACCCAGCTTTCATTCTTATGCCAAAAGGAATAGGTAATATCCCCTTGGACATCAAGCATAACATTTGGCACACAGTACTTACTTGCTTACATGTCTTCCTCTTTCCAGTCACACTAATGTAAATTCCCACTGGAAAATTTTGATCTCATCTTTTGTATTCTACCCCTAGATTCTTGCACAACATCTTCCAAGTAGTAAATGCATAAGAATGTACATCCAATATGCTACATTTAAAGGGTTGGCTATTATGTAAATATTTCTCCAACAGATTTTAATGACAGTAAAGTTCTAGATTCAAGTAGTAGTTCCTGTATCATACAAGCACATGAGAAATTGTTCAGTATCACTATTAATAAGGGAAATAGAAATCAAAGCCACAGGGAAATATATCACCCCAGTGAGAATGGTCTATTTGAAAAAACAACAAATGTGGGCAAGGATTGGAGAAAAAAGAACACTCATCCACTGTGGTGGAAATGTTACTTGGTACAGCCTCTATGGAAAACATTATGGAGATACCTTAAAAAATAAAAATGGAAACACCATATAATCCAGCAAAACCTAGGTATTTACTCAAAGCATATGAAAACACTAATATGAAAAAAAAAAATGTATGCTCTCCTATGCTCACAGCAGGATTATTCACAATTGCCAAGTCATGAAACCAACCTAAGCACCCAATGACAGACCACTGGATAAAGAAACCGTGGAAAATGTACACAGTGGAATACTACTCAGCTATTTTAAAAAATGAAATAATGACTTTGGAGACAAATGATTGGACCTTGAGATGATTATGTCAAGTAAAATAAGTCACAAAGTGACAGACAGATGAGGATGGTTTTCTCTTATCTGTGGAATAACCAAAGAATACATACTGGCAAAGCTCATCAAAAACAATTCTTAGACTCTGGAAAAATATACTGGTTACCAGAGAGGACAGGGAAGAAGGGGCACAGAGCATAGGCACGGGGAGGTTGGGTAGAGGGTGAGGAAGGCATGTGCAAATATGGAGGAGGAAAATGTAACCCCAAAATGTTACTTAAATAGACACGTAAACAACTGAAAAATTAATTTAAAAAAGTACATCCTAGGGCCTCCCCTGTGGTGCAGCGGTTGAGCGCTGGGTTGCGAAGCTGCCCACAGCCTCTGCAGCGCCGGTTTGATCCCCAGCTGCTCCCCGGCCACCGGAGGAGGGTCCCACATGGCACGCAGACCTCTCCTGCCGCCCGCTGCTCCCCTCAGCAGTGTACTTCGGTCCTTCTGCCTGTTCTGCTCCCCGCTCTGGCTCTGGTGAATTCTCTCACCCTCCCGCACCTCTGACTGTACCCAGTGCTTGTATAAATAAATAAATAAAAATCTTTTTTAAAATAAATAAATAAATAGAATAAAAAAGTACATCCTAGTCCATTAGGGACCCTCTTGGTGCTTTGATGGTAAGCAATGTGTTACATACATTTGAAGAGGTATGAATCTGTACCATATATATATATAGTATATAAGTATATAAGCATATATAGTATATAAGCCAACATTCCTTAATAAAACAATTTTTGTAATGTCCATCCTCCCTTTCACTCATCTTTTAAATGTTTAATAACACTTAAGTGTACTCGCTCTTCTGCAGCAAGCACTCCTCACCCTGTCAGTCCCTAGGAATGATACAGCACTACCTTACATAAAATTACTGAAATAACTTGGATAAACAGTAGTCTAAAAGACAGAATCCCTATTTTCAAAGCAAAATCACAATAAGTAAAATCACATTAAGTTCTTAGAGAATTTCATGCCATTGATAAATGTCAAGTACCTGCTTTCAACTGTTAGCAGCTTCATCTTACTAGTAAAGCAAATACATCATCTCAGTTGTAGAATTTATTTTGTTATATTTTAACTAATCATTTTTGCTTTATTGAAGCTAACATGTTTTTTGTTATTAAAGACAATAATATCAATACTTAAGGTTTCTGTTCACTTCGATTTCAGATCATTTGCTTTTCATTAGAAATTCCCTACTTATGGGCCTCTCCGGTGGCGCAGTGGGTTGAGCGCCACGCTGTGAAGCTGTCCACAGCCTCTGCAGCGCAGGTTCGATTCCCGGCCAGCCAGGGAGATACCCACATGGTGCAGCAGACCTCTCCTGACTCGCCAGCTGCTCCCCTCAGCAGTGTTTTCTGTCGTCTGCCTGTTCTGCTCCCCACTCTGTCTCTGGTGAGTTCTCTCACCCTTCCATGCATCTGGCCTGTACCCCAGTTCTTGTATAAATAAAATCTTTAAAAAAAAGAAAGATTCCCTAATTAGCTCATCACTATATGCCTGGTACTATTAGTTTACCATGATTATTTACTATTTACTATTAGTTTACCATGATTATTTCTACAGTTAACTATTTTTTTGATACCTTTTAATTTTGGGTTTTTTCCAGCTGACTTTTTTAATACCCAAATCCACATATGATTCACTGAGTTCTACATTTAATTCTCCTTCTGAGTCATTTGGGAGTACTCCTAGTTTCGTTGCAGATTCATAGAGAGAAATTTCATTTTTTAGTTCTGTCAATTCTTCCTAAAACACAAAAGAAATGAAAGTTATTTTTCTGTATGAAGGAATCAGTCTTCCTATCCATGCTTCGAAATTCATTTTGATGATCAATAAACAGAAGCTAGAAAGGCTTCTTCAGATACATGATTAAAAATAACCTTAAAAGGCCATCGTCTATCAGACTTTCAAATAAACTGACTGAACAAATGAATAAATGAACGAGAAAGCAAATAGTAGTGTTTCTCACACCTCCTTGCTTACATTTTGTCTCCAAGGAAAGTGTTCCTTAAACTATGAGGCTGACTACTTTTTCTTACTAAAATAGAGGAGAGAGCACTGCCAAGAATGTGTCGTCCTTTACTCTGCCAGTCGGGGTAATACTGGAACTCTCCCTTCAGTGGAAAATATAAGTCCAGCGGGTGAGAAGGTGAGAGCACAGCAGCTAAACTGAAGGTTTCCCACACCTGTAGGTTAAACGCATCTCTGGAGTGCATGGCTGCTGAGAGCACAGGGCTTGGGAAGGAGGTGGTGGGCAGACTGGCAGCAGGGGGCACAGTCCTCACTCTGCAATGAGACAGACCCGGCCTTGATTACCCAACTGTGTGGAAAGACTGTCAACAACTCTCCTGGGATGTTTGGAGATTATCTGAATTCCTCTTTTATAGAAAACAATCCAGGTTCAGAAAGGTGATGTAACAGTCACCTAATTCAGTTACCCGGAGTGTCTTCCAAGTGGCAAGACTCACCTGCAGAGCCTTGTTCATGCTTTCGCTCATAGCATGTGCTTTTTGTGCTTGCTGCAGCTGGAGCCGTAGCTGAGCCACCTCCTGTACTGAGCCTATGGGGGAAAGAATCATAAAATACACCAAATGTAAAGGAACAAAGTACCTGTCATATACAGAACAACTATAATCCACCGAGGCTAACAAAGATAGAGACCTACTTTATTACTTTTTTTGTTATTTTTTTAGGAGCATAAAGATACATGCAGGGAGACTCAGAAACCATAAGTCTGGTCCAGACATTTCCAAGGTTTAGTACAGTTTCCCATATACCCTTGGAGAGTTTAAGACATGGGCTATTATAAACTTGCTCTGAATGAAGTTAGCCATGTCTATAGAACTGAACAAAACTTTAGTAGGAACATAACAATAAACTCATAGAAAACCAAAGAAAAAATTCTTTGGAGTCCATCTCTACCACCTAACAGAAAAATACATCTTGCTGCCTTTAGCTTCTTCTACTTCCAGCATCTCCACCCTCCACATGTGAAAGAAACTTACTAGGATTGTGCTTCTGAAACTTCAATAAACTAATATTTGAAATGTACCAAGGGAGATTCCCATTTTAAAGAGACATTATTAGGTGTCATTAAAGGAAATCAGCATCTGGGACATAGTTAAGCAAAGTAATGATGGCATATTATCCATATAAAGAAAATCATATTTTCTAAGCTTTTAATGCCAGGATTCCCTAAGAAATGTCAAGTGAAACAATAGAAATGGAGAGGACATAAATAGAACATGATACAAATGTTGCCTCCACTCACTCCCTTCCCCACCAAAACAAACACACAACTATGTAGGCAAGTCTTTGACTTGAGTGCTTTCAACTCTTGAAAAACCCAAACTCACACACATTGTACCAACAATCTGAATTGAGTTTCTTACGCCAATGTGACCTTCATATATCAGTGAAGGAATAAGCACTGTTTTCACAGTGTAAGTTACCAGCAAACAGGGTAGTTTTATCTGTACAATAGTGTCTGTGTAACCTGTGATTATTTATTGCCTTTTATTCTAATGTTTCATAAAAATCAGTAAAAAATAAAAATTAGTTAAAAATTAGTAAAATTAGTAAAAAGTATTTTATAAAAATTAGTGAAAAAAATTGAAATGAATACTAGGAAACATATCTTTCAAACTTAATACCATGGAGACCATACTAGAAATTTTACGCAGGACAAAAATGTAACTAGATAGCTAGTCCGCTGTGAGAAGGAAAAGATATTAAAGAAGTTCTACAAAACGATAAAACTAAGTGATTGAAGACTGAGTCCAAAAAGCAAACATAATGGGATTTCAAAATCAGTTTTCAGGGATGGTACCTACCTTATAACCTATATTTTATTGTCCTATTTTTACACCTTCAGCTTTGCATGTTTTCAGAAATGCACTGTACACCAAAGCAGGGACATGGCCATACACGTGCCCCATTTCACTTGAGGAAAATACATTCAAATGATAACAATGATCTTCGTGCAGCAGGATTATTGGTTATTTTTATTTTGTACTTAATACTTGCCTGTGTTTCCCAAATTATCTAATGAAATTGCACCATGCCTTTATACATGTATAATATGTTAAAAAATTTTCACCAGTTATCTTTTTTGAATTTATATAATTCACAGATCCTATTCTGTTCTCTCTGCCTGTCATACTCGCTTTCTGCAGAGACAATAGCCCCCGCAGACACCCACCTGAGTGCAATAAATTGGCACACTGCTTTTGACTCTCCTCTAGGCTTCTAGTTAGCCTGTTAATGATCTCAGTCTTCTCTAATTTGGTTGCTTCTTGATTCCTTTCCAGTTGTTTCACTTGATCTTTCAAACGACAGCAAACATCTTCCTAAGTAGAAAAAGTATTCAAGAAGCTATTTTCATGATTGGTTATTAAATAGTAAATAAACAATTATGATGCATAATTGACTTTTTATAAAATAATTTTTATAGAATTATAAAATTACATTTTAAGTCAAATGTAAGATAATCAGAGAGTAGCACCAACTCTGTTGTCAGCTTGCTTGCACAGGATGGGAGTGAGGAGCACAAACTTATATAGTTTTGAGTGAGCCACCAAATTCTTTTGTAATTATACTAACAAAGGTTGCATTTGAAGATATTTCTAAGGTCCTTTTCTGTTCTATATTCACAAGACCCTGTTACTCTAAAATTAATTTTATTCAAGCGAAGGAAATACATTACATTCTAATTTGCACCTTACACTGTCAATATAAATATGTATACATATTTAGACCTATTGAATTGTGGAATTTTTATGCCAAGATAGCAAGGAAACAGATAAACACAAGGAAACTGAGTCTATTCCAAATAGCCAAAGCTCCTACTACTTTCAGCAGCCAAAATTAATCTCTCCCTCTCTGAGCAGCTCTGAAACTTCATCTGTTTCTCTGCCATGCTTTTCTTTTTACCTTTTACATGTCTTATTTCTCTTAATAGTCTCTTTGAAGGTGCTTACCCACTACCTTCTACAAACTGAATGCTCCAAAGAAACACCTGAAAAATAAATGACAGAAAAAAATGTGTGTGTGCCACATGTGTGCACATGTATAATAAATAGTGATATACAGAAAATAGAGAACTTGTGTACAATATATTTAAGTTTCTTTAAGGAGAAAATGTGTTTGGAAGTGATGAGCCCCAAGTCCCAGTAGAAAAAAACATCGCCTCTCATTCAAAAAAGGATAGACAGACTGAATTCCAGACAAACAGCAGAACATGAAAAAGAAATAAATTAAGGTAACTGGGTAAAGTTGCCTGAAAAATTCATAATAAAATAAGTACCTACAGTGAAATGATTATCAAAAAAAGGCTATGATACAGAGAGAAGGTTTTTGGTGCCAGATCTGTAGAAAGACCTAACAACCAGTAAGGCACTAATGATGATAACACAAGGTACTCCTCTCAAAAGGGGACTAACATATACATTCCCTTATACAGATGAAAGCTACTCTGAAGTCTATTTTAGCTTAAAAGCTTAAATTCTGTATTCTATTTCATAATGTAGCTATGTTTGCTTTAAATTTTTTCTACCAAATTTTTGAGCAAAATGAAGCTTCTGGAAACAAATGCATGTTTATTCAACACTGCAAACCTCTTGGCATACTGCTGCTAATTTCCAACCAGCTTGAGAAGCATGGTTCTGAAGCACCACAGTAACACGGCAAACACAATGAATGAGCTCATATTAATGACAGTGTGAACATGTGTGCAAGAAGAGTTATAGAGACAACTAACAGCTATGTGCTGGGGAGTTTCCAGAAGTTTTTAGTAGAGAATGGGAACTGACCAAAAAGTTCAAGAAAAGATAGATATTTAAAACAATGTAAAAGAAAGGCAGACTGCGGCAATAACGTAACTATATGTAACAACCAACTGAGCCATGTTATTTCCTGATGACAATTCAACAAAACATTCTGTTCACCTATCTTTGCCATGATTAGCTCAGTTCAAGATGGATAAAGTCACACATATGTTAAGACTGAATGATTTAAGTGTGGTGATAAAGAGTAAATAGAACTGAACAAATTTCTAGTTGCACAGAAAAATGAGGAACAGGCCACACACACACAGAGGTCTATGGGCATCTCTTGGCCAAAATAAAGTGTTTAAAGTGGAATCTTTAAAAATAATGTGCAAGGAAAAGTAGAAAGTCTTGATATAGAAACCAAAGTCCAAGACTTCACCAAAAGCTGAAGTTTTCAAGAAGACAAGAATGACAAAAGGTTTTATACAATATCATCAGGCTAATCAGAAACCTTAGAAAGGAAACATCTGTGAATGAGAGAAGTAGAAGGCAGCTTGGAGGAGTAATTGCCATTTATCTTTCCTGTCACGCTAAAAAACACAAAAGGAACTCAGTCAAAGTAAAAACCCTTCAAATATGTTGTGTGTACGCTATTTCCTACCCAGAAAAAGAAATGGCTTAGGGAAAACACTAGATTAATATAATTTTATAAGCCACATATTTCTCAAAATATATTACACAAATAGCGAAAAAATAATCAGATTGTTACTCCTCCCAGTACATGTAATTAGGCAATTCCTGTGTTGAATTTTATCTTTCAAATTAAATATGTTTGTAACCTGTTTATATCCTGATGTTTAGTTGTTGCTCAAGAAAAGTGTGTTGAACAGATGAAGGAATAGGACTCATCTACAATGTAGTTGTAATCTCTTCCCACCAGGTGCAACTTTTTCATAAAGCAGTGATTTCAACCTTCTGCACAAAGAGAAGCATGAATTTCTTGGAAAACCTGAATAATCTCATGGGTCTTCTCCACAAAACTGCCAAAAGAAAGTCACACCCACAATTTCAGAGGATTCATTGAAATTCAGTGGATTTCAGAGGAATCACTGAAATTCAGAGGATTCATTGAAATTCAGATGCCAGGTTAAGAACCTCTGTAACCAGCAAAACTTGCTGTGTGTAGACACCTACTCTGTCAACACTGCATCTGTACAATACATAGGTCCACAGCTTGTATGGCTGCATGAGAGCCACTCAGATCCTAGACACTGGCAAATTTATTCAACCCATCTGCTCAATTTTATGTTATTTGAACCATGCTACTATTTCCAAGAGTGTGTGTGTGAATATTCTTTGTAATCTGTTGAATAGAATGTAGTGGGGAAAGGTTTATTTGAAAGGGAAATATTTTATACCTCTTTAATAAATTGTGTAAAGAAAAAAGGCAAGGAGTTAAAATACAGCATGTATGTATGTATGTATGTATGTATGTATTTTATGTAAAAATATCTAAATCAACAGTCTCTATATAGAAGGCACTCATGCATTTTTCTAATTCCTGGTTCATTTTTACATCTTTCCAGTCACGGATCTCAATTTGGATTCTGATAATACAGATTGACCTCTTATTAAAGATACTGCTGAGAATTGATAGTAAATTGACAGACAAAAGGGAGTCCATTAAAAAACACAGCCAGAATGAAAAGACACAGGCACTGTGGAATCACCATTTTGCAAAGGAGTTATGCAATTATATATGGAGGCTAACATCAAGGCTATGCTGTTTACAATTTAAAAATCAGTCACAGAAAGTACTGTGGGAAAAGATCTTAACACTTTCAATTTATGGTTCAGGTGTCTGAAGCCAAGTCAGCACAGAATCAAGACTTTCTTCTATGCTGTAGACTAGGGTTCTTCTATTGAAGCGGGCAGGGCTGTGTGGGGGTGGTGAGAATAGAGAAGAGGGTGGGTACAGAGGTGGAACTAGGAATTCCTTCTGGCGCTTCCCCATGTAATTGTGTCTAAGTCTGCAGAGAATGGTGAGATCCTCAAGCCAGCATGGAAAAGCCACCACACTCCACTCCTCATCATCCAAGGAGGACCAGTCTCTAAGTTCAGCTAACTTGAACACTACCACAACACCACAGCTAAAATTAATAAAACTATTTCAAACTCTACTTGTTTAAGCATGATATAAACTCGGGTTTTCAATCATTTGGCATAGCCTTGGTCATTTTCCCACCCTGATTAAATGCACATTTTTCTATATAAAAAATAAAAATATATGACAAAATAAGTCTAATAAATACTCATATAAATACATATAAAAGTAAAATGGTATACAAACAATTATTATTGCCAATAATGCAAACTTTTATAGCTCTACCAAATCATGGAAAAAAATAGAAACAGCTGTATAAATAAGAAAGAACAACCCAAGTTAGGATGAATTTTAACTGTGGTAGGATTTTCCACACCCTCCCATCATATTTTTCTTCTCCCTTCCCTGTGTGTTAAATTAGTTCTGAAATTACATTAAGAAAAATGTACTCCAGGCCTCCCTGGTGGTGTAAAAGGTTAAGCACAGCACTGTGAAGCTATCCACAGACTCTGCAGTGCAAGTTCGATCCTCGGCCAGGGAGCTACCCACATGGCACAGCAGACCTCTCCTGACTCGCCCACTGCTCCCCTCAGCAGTGTATTTCAGTCAGTCTGCCTGTTCTGTTCCCCACTCTGTCTCTGGTGAATCCTCTCACCCCTGCACCTCTGGCCTGTACCCTAGTTCTTGTATACATAAATAAATAAATCTTTAAAAAAAAAATCTTTGGCTTTTAAGTATTACTTGCAATCTAACATCTACTGCAAACATCCAGTGTTTCTATATTGGCAACCACACTGCGTCAGGGTCAAAAAAAAAAACAGCTTTACTTGTTGGCAACAGTTGCTCATTTGAAATCATCCCAACCTGTTCCTTAAGTGCAGTGACTGTACCATCCAAGTTCTTTTGTAAGGACAACACTTGCTCTTCATACTTCTTGGTGAGGCCTGTGACAATGCTCTGATGCTGTTCTCTGGCACGCTGAAGTGATTCAGAATGATGAAGATCCAGCAGCTGTTGCTTCACGCTTTCCAGAGCCACTTCAGTTGTCCTGCACTTCTTAATCATCTAGTAAAATACACAGAGATCCATGTTCACAGTATGCTCGGGGCCTGAGCATACAGTAACTCTAAAATAATCAAGTATACTTCAGTGATAGTAGAGAAGAGGGGTTTCCCCACCGTGACTCTTGTTCCTGAAGCTTCTCTAGCTGGGGCCTACCCAGCCTATAGTTGCTAAGAATGCTAATCACTGAGTAAATTAATTTTGTAGTTACCCGAGGAGTGTGAAAGAGGATTTTATGCAGCATGATGGCAATGTGGGCATCAGGCAAGGAATCTGGGGCTACTATACAGGTCCCAGTGCTATTTGCATTGCTCTGTGAGCAAAGTGTGTGTGTGTGTGTGTGTATGCTGGGGAGGGGGGGACACATAATCAATTGTTAGGTCATAAAAATATGACTTAGTTTCTTGAAAAACTGATGATATCTGTCAATGGCCACTCGCTGAAAACAAAGTTTTGAATGTTATAACTGTACACATGTTGCAAAATAATGGCATAAGAAGCTAAAGAATGGCTCCCAAAAGATGTCTATGCCCTAGTCCCAAAAATCTGTGAATACATTGTTATATGTCAAGGGAACATTAAAACTGCAGACTGCGGGCCTCCCAGGTGGCACAGTGGGTTGAGCGCTGCATTGTGAAGCTGTCCACAGCCTCTGCAGCATCAGTTTGATTCCCAGCCAGCCAGGGAGATACCCACATGGCGCAGCAGACCTCTCCTGCCGCCCGCTGCTCCCCTCAGCAGTGTTTTCAGTCAGCCTGCCTGTTCTGTTCCCCACTCTGTCTCTGGTGAATCCTCTCACCCTCCCCTGCCTCTGGCCTGTACCCCAGTTCTTGTATAAACAAATAAGTCTTTAAAAAAAAAAAAACAAAAAAGACTGCAGACTAAATTGAAATTGCTAATCTTGACCTTACAAGGAGAGTATCCAGAATTATCTGGGTACACCCAGTGTACCCACAGGGTCATTAATAAAGAAAACTGAGGCAGAAAAGGCAGACCATGACTTCTGGCTCAGAAGGTGGAAATGGCTGCAAACCAAGTAACACAGGTGGAACAGAAGTTGGAAAAACCAAGAAAATAGATTCTCCCCCTTGTGTCTCCAAAAGCAACACAGGCCTGCGGACACCTGGCACTTAGCCCAGTGAAATCCATGTCAGTCTTCTGACCTCCAAAATTGTGAGGTAATAAATTTATGTTGCTTAAAACCACTAAATTGGTAATAACCTGTTACGGCAGCTATAGGAAAGCAATATACCTGGTGATTCTGTGGCTTTAAATTTTTTATTTATGCTACTTTATTTTCTATAAATGTAATTTCTAGCTCATAAAGAGACTACAAAGTTATAACCTTTTTACTACATAAAAGCAATTCAACTTTTTAAACATAGTAAGTAGCAGCTTTCTCGAAAAGTTAAAAAGTCTAATAATCTACGTTACACGTAAAAATTAAAATTTCAAGTGAGACTTATTTATTTCAATACTAGTTTGTTGTTCAGGAAATAATCTGGACACTTCAAGCCAGAAAGAGTTCTAAGCACTTAGGAATATAATGACAAGATCCACACTCTTAATTTGTGATGGAGAGAGATCAAGAGCCAATGACAGGTTTAAAAAAAAGGAGAGAATTTCAGATAGTTACAAAAAAAGAATAGGATATGGCATGGAAGAGAAAGAGGCATACGGAGTTATGCGCTCCCTTAGAAATACGGTGGATGGAAACTTCTCTCTCAAAAGGTAACTTCTTAGGTGAGATCTGACAGGTGAAAAAGAGCCAGCAGACCTGAGGCAATAGTGCTTGAACTCTTCCATTAAGTCATCCTCAGAACTACGCACAAATCTCGTCTAAAACCAAACTCAGTATTTTACAGTCACTTTCATTTTAAACTGCCCTCTTTCCCCTCTCCAAAATGGCATTAGTCTCATGAATCACCCACCACCAGGACTGACTACCAAAGACTTATGACTATTTCCAACAAAAAAATAGTTATCTCATTGACAAAAGAATGTGCTGTAATTTCAAAGGCAAGTGTACCACGGTCAAAGAATTTAGGTTCTGATGCTTTGTCCACAACCCGCTTTGCAACCTTGGGTAAGTAACTTAACCTTTCTAATACTCAGTTAACTCATCTATGAAATGGTAGACACAATGCCTTGCTAATCAAAATTGCAACAAGATTTTTTACCAAAAAAAAAGAAGTTGGAATGTAATCTGGTTCAGACTCTATGAAAAACAATATGGAGATACCTTAAAAAAAAAAATAGAAATCTCATATGATCCAGCAATACCTCATCTAGGTATTTCACCAAAAAAAAAGAAAATACTAATACAAAAAGGCTTATGAACACCTGTGTTCATAGCAGTGATTTCCATAATTGCCAAGTCATGGAACCAATCTAAGTACCCACCAACCAATAGAGAAATTGAGGAATATAAACTCAGTGGAATACTGCTCAGCAACTTAAAAAGATAAAACTGTGCCTTTGGTACAAAATGTGAGATGATCATGCTAAGTGAAATAAATCAGAATGTGAAAGACAGATAATGATGGTTTTCACTTATATGTGGAACACAAATAGCCAATAAAAGCATATACAAGTTCCCAGCAGGAAGGGTGGGGGGCATGGTAAGAAGGGGTAAGGTAAGGACAGGGATAAGGCACTGGCACAGGAAGTTCAGTGGAGTGAGGGAAGCACATGCGCATATATAAGAGTAAAAATGTAAACCCCAAAGTTATGTAGACAAGTAAACAACTAACAAATTTAAAAGAAAAACAAAAACATGCATTGATTCTCAGGATTCGAAAGAGAAACTGCTAAAAACAACTACAAATTTTTTTAAGAATATTAAGTCTAGTCCTGGCTTACAAATTTCAAAATACATCATAAAGCTATAGTCATAATAGTATCAGAGCAAGAATAGAGAAATACATAAGAAAAAAATATATAGACTAGGTCAGTTTTAAACAGCAAGATTCACTCAACATACACTGACCACCTGTTCTGTGCTAGATGCTGGGTTTAGGTGGTGGAACTGGCAGGATGAGAGCAACCCGTTCTTGCCTTCAAGATGCTCTAAGTCTATTATATTTGTTGACTTTCTATTTGTTACAATAGATGTGACCTTCCTGCCTGGATAAAAACGCAGTGGAGACTTAGGAAATGAAAACTCAGGAGCAGGGACTTATTAATCAAATGAATGGAAAAGGCATTCCAGAGAGATGAGACAGCACATATAAGCACACTAATCAACAAACAGATAGTAAGGAGAAAGAGTAAGAGGACAGGCAAGGATCACATGGCATCAAATGGCCATACTTTGTCCCACAGGTATTGTGGGGTCATGAAGGACTTTAAATAAGGCAACGGCATAACTATATTTGAGAAAGATTATTCAGAAGGTCATAAGAGAGAATTTGAGGAAGGGGTAAAAGATCGACTAACTAAGAGACTTTGTAAAAGATGGTAAAATCCGGGACAGAGGAGCAGAGGACCTGAGATATCCAGATTTCTGGAATGGTGACCAAGTGGAAGTAGCACTACTCCTTCAAGGTAAAGGAAGGGAAACTAGGCTTGTGCTGGAAGAAGATACAAACTTCAAAGTTGTTCTAAATTTAATCTTGTCCATAGTTTTGTTAAACAAACTTATCACTGTAATAAGTAACTTGACCACAATAATCAAGATTAATATTTACCTGTTCTTCATTGACTTTTAATGCTTGTATTTGGGTCTCCAGTGCTTTTATTTGTGCTTCAAGCTGTATCTCTCTTTCTTTTCCATTCTGAAAGAGTTTCTGTGATTCTTGGAGGCTAAGGGTCAAACCATCCTTTTCATCTATGGCATTAAAATGTTTATATAAATAATACATGCAATCCCAGTTGCCACAGTCCCTATTATATATCAGATCTATATCAGATATAAATGCTGTTGTATTCAATTCAAAGGAACTTTGGTGGATTTAAAGAAATTGAAGGAAAAAAAAAAAAAAGAATGCCCAAGTAACACCCAAAACACTATAGAGAACCAGAAACAGTTCCTTCAAAAGTTATACTGTAAATTTTTTGGAACTAAAAAATATTTCCTAACAATGATTTCAGCATTTGTGTACTTGAGAAGTTACATAGATGTGACAAGCCCTGCTAATCAAAGGAAGAATCTGAGGATTCACTGCTTCTTAAATATACTTACAATGAACTTTTAAATTCACCCAGTTTTAAACTCTTCCCACATACTTTACTGTAACAGTTCACAAGCTCTTCCCTCAAAATAAATTTTACAGAAAGAGACCTTTTCACTATCAATTAAGTTTGAAATGCATTGAAGTTCAGTCCCAAATTAATCTACAAATTAAAGTCCAACACTGACCAAAATGACAGATAGCACGAAGAGTAAGCAGTAACAATTTGAATCTGTATTTACACTATGTGTTTCTCCCAGCTATGGCACTGTTCCTCCTGGCGCTCCTAAATAAGTTCAGGGTCACTAACTCTTACTTGGATTAAAACATCATGCTAATTTTTAGGCTCAGAAATGGATTACAAACTAAACACAAGTCTTTCTGGGAAGTGGAATACTTCATCCAAAATAAACTCCATAAGGAATCAACAACTTTCAGGACAGAATGCTGTTAGTAATGTTCATTGATTCTTACAGTCTAAGAGAAAGAAGATAAGGGGGAAATTTAAGATATTTCGGGATAAGGTGTCAAAAGTCTTGGGTTTTTGTTTTGCTCTGATGAGTCCTTGACCAACTGTGTCAATTTTCTAACCTTCATATTTTAACAAAGCAACTGGAAACAAGGTATCTCATGTGCCTCATAAATCACAGTACCCAATACTGGTTATCTTACCTTTGATCATCAGAAGTTGGTGATTTAGATATCTTATTTGACGCTCACGTTCGTTTAACTTTTCAACTAAATTGTCTAGTTGTCTCTCTTTTGCTTTGTTAAGAACCTTAAGCTGAATAATCTGCATATTTTCCGAAGAATCTGCTTTGGAGTGAAAGACAATTTATTAGATAAAAACATTCAAAAATTTTTAAAAAATTCCAAAATGAAAATGAGTAGTTATTTAGACCAGTGTTTTTCAAACTGTTGATGCGCACTATGGTCTCATGAAATTAATTCGATGGATTGTGAACAGCATTTTTTTTAAAAAATGAGATAGACTATAATACATCAGAGCATATCATGCAGTACAAAATAAGTGTGATCTTGTGAAACTTGTTTCAGTTATGTATACTTACTTATATCCATAAATGTTATAGACCATGTCATCACATAAAAAAATGTATTTCTTTTTATGGTCACTCCAGGAAAGCTTATGAAGAGTCACTGATTTAAAGTATAATTGTGGGGCCTCCCCGGTGGCGCAGCGGTTGAGCGCTGGGTTGTGAAGCTCCCTGCGGCCTCTGCGGCGCCGGTTCGATCCCCAGCTGCTCCCCAGCCACCGGAGGAGGGTCCCACATGGCGCGCAGACCTCTCCTGCCGCCCGCTGCTCCCCTCAGCAGTGTACTTTGGTCCTTCTGCCTGCTCTGCTCCCCACTCTGGCTCTGGTGAATTCTCTCACCCTCCCGTGCTTCTGACTGTACCAGTGCATGTATAAACAAACAAACAAATAAATAAATAAAATACGTGCCTCTAAAAAAATAAATAAATAAAAAAATAAAGTATAATTGTGATCACTACCACAATGACTAATTAAAAATAAATACATACCAATTACAATAAAATAGAGTTCTACATGCTCATAAAATTGGAAACGTGTCCCAGCTTCTATAAAACAATTTCTAAAAAAACCTTCTAGATATCATTCTCAAAATATTTTAAATAACAGCGGTAATTACATTGTACTCATATTCATGCTGGCACATAGCTGCTTTTTAATTAATTAAAAAAGTGACTAATAAATAATTTTGAAGTCTTCTTTCACAAATGATTAAAGTCATTTTAGGGATTACCAAAGAAGTGATCAGGGGAAGAAAAAGAAAAAAATGGATGGTAGGATGAGGATAATGCTTCAGTGACACGACAAATATTCCTCATTTTCTAATGGAACAAAGCTTCTACTTGCTAGCAGTTAAATCTACCCTTTTTGAAAAAAGGTATGATTAAAACAAAGCAAATAAAATTGAAGACCATAAGCTATGTTACCAATCAAACTGCAGGGGCTTAGAGCAGGACTAAGGTTTGAATCACTAAATTCAGCACCACTGTTACTTAACTTAAAAGTGTCAAATTTGGGCAAGTGTGCAATGGACTTAAACAAAAAATAAGTGAACTATATAAAATGCACATCATTTAAGAAACAGATAGAAGGTGATAGAAGCAGAAAGACCAGAAGACGTAAATGTGACTAAACACGGGAGCTCAAGAGTCAACGCCAAGATGTCAGGCCACAGATGTGAGGTTCATTTACTCAACCTAAAACCAGTTATGCCACACGTGCCATCTATTTCCTCCTCAACTTGTTCACAAAAACCTATGAGCAAAGAGAGGCCACCTCTATATTTGCCACTGACTCCTTCAGAAGAAAGATCTGGCCTCCCCTAGAATTACCCTGTGGCCCTGGCATATGATGGAAGCAGCACTAAGCAGTGAGAGCAGCAAGTCCTCTTTTTTCTTTGGCCTAGCCCAGGACACTTGGAACACCCAGGTTGACTTTACCCCATTCTTCAAAGGAAAAAAACACTCGCCAACCTACCGGAGGATCATACCAGCCCTTAAACATGCACAATAATTAGAAGTTATTTCAGGCCAGTGACAATAAAAGCTGGACATATGAAAACACTAATTCAGATTAGTCACAGCACATTGTTTTTGACATTTCATCTCAAAATTCTCTGCTAGAAAGACACTCTTCTCACTCTCATATAGTATATCACACATTTACTTACGAAAGAAAACATTTTGTAAAGTACCACATGACTAAACCTGAGCTATAAGCCTACTTTAAATTCTGAACATGAAGTAATTTATATCAGAGTTGCTTAATATTGCACTAAAACTCTAAAAGTAAAAAGTTAACATAATGCCTAAGTCATTAAATTACATTTCTATATAATGAAAGTCTATGACTGAAGTGAAAACTATTTCATTTTCTAAATTACATTTGTTAGGAAAAGAAGAAAGAGGGACTCCCTGGTGGCACAGGGGTTAAAGTCTCAGCATTATCAAGCCATTGGCAGCCACTGCAGCACGAGTTCGATCCCTGGTCAGGGAGCTAACCCACATGGTGCAGCAGACCTCTCCTGTCTCGCCCTCTGCTCCCCTCAGCAGTGTCTTTCAGTAGACCCATCTGTTCTGCTCACCCTTCTGTCTCTGGTGAATCCTCTCTCTCCCACCCCCACCCCTGCACCTCTGTCCTAAACCCCAGTTCTTATATGCCTAAATATATAAAAATAAATCTTGTATAAATAAAATAAATCTTAAATAAATAAATAAATCTTTGGGAAAAAAAGAAAAAGATGAAAGAAATAAAAAGTCTTAGCAAACTAGAATGACTGAGATATACAATTCAGAAATATTTCTTTCAGTTTTTTATCATGGGAAATTTCAAATACATAAGAAGGTAGAGAGAAGAGCACAACGAATCCCATAAATTCATTGGTCCTACTCAACAATTATGGGCTCATGGCCAGTCTTGCTTTATCTGTATCCTTCCCAACATTACCCCCCAACAAAGGATTATTTGAAATAAGTCTTTGGCTTCATCTCAGTTTATTCATAAATGTTTCAGGATATATCTCAAAAATAAGCATTCTTTGAAAATTACCAATCATAATTAGATTATTGCACTTAAGAAAAAATTCTTGAACACATCTCAAAGTGTTCAAAATTTTCCCATTACGTTAGTAAGACATAAATACAAACTCAATACATACTTTCATTAACTCCTAAAAATTGTTGCTGCAGGTCTTCAAATGTTTCGCTTCCTGCGACTTCTTGGGTTGGTGAGCCATTATTCTGGACAGAAGACTGATAAGGTTTATATGTCACTTTATATGGTTCCAAAGCTTGACAACTGGGACCTTGTGATGTACCAAATGGCTATTATAAAATGGTAAATGAAATTAATAATTAGGAATTGGACTTTTCTTCAAAAATTATATGAAATAGACACCTTAATTTGGGTATTCAACTTAATAGTGGTACAGTGACAAAATTTATACACATATATTTGCATAAAAATAGAACTCATTATATAAGACTGCTAATTAAACATCTGCAATATATAATTTCACACATCTTAATTTTCATCATGCAAAGGGCCATAACACTCAAGAATTTCAAATAGATTGTACATAAAAATTTAAGAATGATTTAGATGATGCCAAAATCTTGGGAACATAAAAATGCACACATTTAATAACAAGAACATATAATTCAAAGCCTCATATTTGATACTCAACCACTTGTGGAATGAATAATATTCTACAAAGAAAGAATTAAGTAAAACTGACCACCTTAAAAGTACCAAAATTTATTCTGTAATTGCATGACACAGAAAGAATAGGTATCACCAAAATGAGTTTTCATGGTCATTGAAAAAAGCTAAGAAGACACTAACTATACCGGAAGGTCTTACTTAATTATGAGTTTCTTTCCTTAACATATACGCTGTCTACTGTGATATCATCACAAAACAAAATGTTAGTTTTGAATTGTTTGACCTAAAATTTGTTTTAAGGGTGGTGAGCTAGAAAATCAAGGAAACTAAATGGAGTCATCTACACATACTTACTGCTTTCAAACTATATCAAGATACTGAACACAGATTCTCACCTGAGCATAGTGAAGTGCTAGAAGCCAGAAGCAGCAGTAAAGGATGGTTATTCTTTGACAGACTTAACTTCTAGTGTTTAATTAACTATTTCCAGAAAGCATCCATTTTAAATCCCTGAACTAAGATCATGACTGCATTAGATTGTGAACAGAAAACAGCATGAGCCTGAATAAATGTTCTCTCAGAAATTTTTGCACTTAAATCTTACCATTGCTTAAATACACACAGACAAGCAAAAGCATGCATATACACTCAAATTCTTCAAAGTTAAGTTCTCACAATACCTGAAAATGATTCCTCTGGGTATCTGAAAACTGAATTACATTGCTTGGTTGGCTATTAAATTCTTGCTTCTGGCCATTGGTATATGGCCTAAAGTTTTCAGGAAGGTGGTATAAATCAGTCTGTTCATATTTGCTAGGAGGACTATAGCCACTTCCACCTTCATCTCCAACTTCTTCAGGATGGTATCCAGCATGCTGGTCTTCAGTTTTACCTTGATTCTCTTCCCAGTCATTGCCACTTTTATTTCCAACATATAAACCCTGAATCTCACTGTACTCCTATCAGAAAACAAAAGTAAGACAAAAGTACTATGATCTACTCCCACCCTCATCAAAGTCATTATCACAATAGATACTTACATTTACATTTTGAGATTTGGGCAGCACTTGATGCTCATTCCAGTTCATTTCCAAATGCTCTGAATGATGCGGTCTTGAGAAAAATCAATACTTTAGATTTAGAGTCTATCATTTATTTGCATATAGATCTCACAAGAACCCCAAGACGCTAATAGCTTTCCCTCCAACCTTCACCTACAAGCTAAAGAATGAGTCTATAATCTTATAAGCACATGCATTATTTACCTGCAGAAAATGCAAAGAAAGAGAATTATAGAATTGCAATATACAAGTGAAAGGGATCCAAAGTCCTTACTCTCCCTCTGTGCTGTCCTCGCTGCAGTCCGAATAGTGGAGCTCAGGGGAGGACAGGTCATCATCCAGCATATCATGAGGAAGGTCTGTGAGTAACTGCTGCAACTGAGACAGGAGAGCCAGCGTCACCATCACACTGATTTCAACATGAGATGCCAAAGCTGCCTCAGAAAGAGTGGTTTTAACTATAGAAGTTACTAATTTCTCCATTTCATAAATTTCTTAAATTCTATGCAAATTATGTTCATCATCTCATTTGGGGAAAGGTGAATACATAATATCAGGATTTACATAAGAATTACTTTTAGGGCCTCCCCTGGTGGTGCAGCAGTTGAGCGCTGGATTGCAAAACTGCCCCTAGCCTCTGCAGCGCCCAGGCTGCTCCCCAGCCACCGGAGGAGGGTCCCACATGGTGCGCAGAACTCTCCTGTTGTGCCCACTGCTCCCCTCAGCAGTGTACTTTGGTCCTTCTGCCTGCTCTGCTCCCCGCTCTGGCTCTGGTGAATTCTCTCACCCTCCCGCGCTTCTGACTGTACCCAGTGCTTGTATAAATAAATAAATAAATCTTAAAAAAAAAAAAAAGAATTACTTTTAGATTAACATATTAAATTTACTTTTTTTCTATAAAGATCTTCGATTTAAATACAGGTACATTGCAAAAGAATTTTAAAAAACTTCTCTATGGAAACACAGCAAGTTGTAACTATTATATTATCACAGGGCAGACTTGAATCTCAGAATCATGTTCCACCAGTAATGAGGCCTTAGGACTTGACAGTCAGACATTCCCCAGGGAATCTGAGTAGCCACATGTAATTGGCCCAGGTGGGGAGAATAGCAGCAGCAGCAACAGGTGGCCTAGAAGTCCTTAAAAGCTCTAGTAATATGATAAAAGCCTCTTGGGGAATAAATAATTAGTAGACAGTTGTCTTATTCCAACGATGAAAAGATATACAATATCCTGCTCCTGTAAAACAGCTGAGTAAAAGAAGAGCGGGGGGATTCAATTTTGTAAAATAGCATTCTCAAACGCGTAATTCTAAATCTGACATACAAGCATTTGACTTCACTCTCCAAACTTTTTCTAGAAAAATGAAATCTTTAGCTTTCTATCTATAAAATTAGGTAGAATAAATTGAAGATAAACTGTGATAGAGATGAATGTGATAGTATAATTAGCTGAACTTCAATATTTCCCTTAACTTCCAATATGTCTTTACATTTGTAACAATCAAATGATTCTAATATTATCTTACCCAACAGTAGGGACAGTGCTTATCACAACTTCTCTTTAAGAAGTCAAGCACCAATTAAACTAACAAGTTGGCTGAATCATTCCACAGTACATAAACCAATCCCTTAAAATGACTCAATGATTGAATTTTTAAAGATATTAAATACTCTTTAAAACCTTAGCGAAAACAAAGCGATAGTCCTTAGTCTATGGCAATGTTTTCGCACTCTGTCATTAGGTTTAAAAAAAATTGAAATGGGGCCTCCCTGGTGGCGCAGCGGTTGAGCACTGGGTTGCGAAGCTGCCAGTAGCCTCTGCAGCGCAGGTTCGATCCCCGGCTGCTCCCCGGCCACCTGCGGAGGGTCCCACATGACGCACAGACCTCTCCTGTCGCCCGCTGCTCCCCTCAGCAGTGTACTTCGGTCCTTCTGTCTGCTCTGCTCCCCGCTCTGGCTCTGGTGAATTCTCTCACCCTCCCACGTTTCTGACTGTACCCAGTGCTTGTATAGATAAATAAAGAAATAAACAAATCTTTAAAAAAAAAAATTGAAATGTAGTTACAAAACATCTGAGTATTATGTTTATAATCAAAAACTTTCTTAAACTATATATAAAGTTAAAATATTACAAGAAAAATACTTCTTCACTCTCAAATATATTTCTACTACTCATTGTACATTTTAAACAGTTTTCTCAATTCATCTGGTTCTCTAAAAATGAAAAAAAGAAAGATATTCTATTCCAAAAAACCCCATCTTCATCATAATATTTTGACACTAATATTAACAACCAAGATCTTGATATATTGGCCACCTGCTCATGCAGGGTAGCTGAAAAAACCTTTGTGAGAATTAGCAATATCAGAGTTACCTCAATATATAAAGAATAAGAAGGAATAAGAAGCAACGATAAAAGCAAAAGACATCAACACATCAGTACACTATGGGCCTCAAGTGAAAAGTAGGAAAGTGATTTTACAAAGACACCAAATATACAAAGAAACAAACATCTGAGAGATCTTTTACAAATCCAACCTGTTTTGTCTGTAATTATGCATCACTGCTTTAATGAAAAAGACTACTTTGCACACGTTAAAGAGGAAAAAATAACAACAAAATAAATCTTTATACTTACATCAAGTAAGGACGCCTGAACAGAATGAATATTTTCTTCTAAACCTTCAGTGAGGTTCAAGAGCATAGCCTTAAAAGTCAGGGGAACACTGACAGGGACATCTGAACGGTACATATTCCCCCTCACAGAGAAAAGGCTACACAATAATTAAGCAGCTATTGTAGCTTTCTTTATAACACCACAGAAATTAACAAAATTGGCATCCATGAAGGAAAATTACTTTGAACACAGGAAATCAGTAATCAAAATGCTTTTAGACATAAATAGACTAAACTTAGCAACTAGCAAAATCAACCCTATAGTAATTAGTGTCTTATAAAATATTTTATATATATGCTAACACTTTATATTAATTTCATTCACCTTCAAAAAATTTGTCCATGAAGTTCTTTGGCATAGTGGGCCATATTCCTTGGCTTCTGTCACTTTCAGAGCGGAGAGAAGCTAAATGAGGGAAAGTCCTCCTAATGAGGCCATCCAGAAACAAAATCCCACCCCCAGGGCTTCCATTTCCCAGGATCAAAGTATGCCCTCCTCATATGCACTGTCACATAAAATTTGTTTTTGGCCACTGAAGTTTGTGCCACAAAACACAAAATTACCGTATCAACCTACGATGTTACCAAATAAAAAATGTTAGAAATGATACATTTTCCTCATTAAAGATCAATCCAAGGACCAAACATAAGTTCTAGGGGAAAGGGAACAACCCTTATATATAACAAAATTCCACTCAGTAACTGCTGATTCATCAGGCTCCTTTTTGATGGCCAAAGGAATCTTCTCAGAAAAATATTACTGGGTTTCAATGGAGTTTTATAATTAAAGAGATAACTTCTCTAAATAAAAGATAATTTGCCACTGCTAAGGCTTCTACTGAAATGCATTCTGTTTAACCATTCTATAAAATCCTCTCCGTTTGCTACACCTTTCTTTCCTAAAAAGAAAACAAAGAGGGCACTTTAACTCAAAGAACTTCACCAGCAAAACACTTTACAATAACTCACGCAGAACATCCAAAAAGCTTACTCACGCAGAACATCCAAAAAGCTTACTTTTAAGGGGAATGTAAGACAAAGAACATATATACCTTTTGTTAGGATTTTCAACTTAAATTAACTAAACAGACTGTCTTTCAAGGCTATAATCCTCGACATTCATGAAATCAGTTCTCCTATTACAAACGGTTTAACATGTCTTCTCCCAAGAGAAAAGCACCACATGGAGAGGCCGACATTCATATTCCTTTTGAACAGGTTACCTCATGAGTACACTGAAAAGATTCTGATATTTTAAAATGTGAATTACTGATATTTGAAATGTGTTGCTTTCATGGATACACACTAAACAGAATCTTCCTTTTAACCTATAAGGCAAGTTTTAAAAATCCCGAAAAGGCTCAATATGGGACTAATAAAGAACCAAATAACCTGGCCGCTAGACCTTTACTTTATGCAATGGGAAGAATGGAAAAAAAAAAAATCCATTCCATTAAACTAAATTTTATGATGTTAGTTGGGATGACTTGGTCCTAAGTTGCCACATAACTGAAAAAATTAATACAGCAATATTTATTAGACAAGCCTGAACAGCACTACAGATGGCACATAACAAGAACTCTGGGCTGGAAGGGACACAGTAGCGCCTGCAAGCCAATCCCTGCCTGATCCAGAGAAGGTGAGGAACGTGCCCATGAAAAGTGAGTGACCCAGAAATGGCACCAGAACAAGCATCTCCCACAGCCACTATTTTCTTCTGCATGGCATTGAGTCCCTGGAAGACACGTCCATCTGTCTGTATACAATCAAGCTTCCATTCTGCCACAGGTCTCTGTTTTTCTTCCACTTGTGACAGTCCCAGAAAAATACCTGTGTATTATGGGGAAAAGCCATAGGGCATAATCTCGATGAAGTATTAAAAACTTTCAACTAAAAAAGAAACACCAGAAAACTAGACTATGAATACTGAAGTGTTTTTTCTTAGATTTTTTTTTGGGGGGGAGGGGTGACAAGAAAATTCTAGTAAATACATCTAATAACAAAATATAAACAAATACGAGCTTTACAACTCCCTCTAGTGGGAATAAAATATCAAGATGATGCCATAATTACTTCAAACAAGGCAGTTAAGTGGATGCTACACAAGGGGACTCTTATCTCTAAAAATATGAATCCAAGCTCAATTGAGTTTTATTATTCTGTTAGTGGAGTACCAATATAAAAACCAAGAGGAATTCAAATCAGCATCACCAGGTGAGAGTTTCTGCTTGCCATCTGCTACTTAAAACGCCTATCTTTCTAGTCAAGATTTTCCAGGTTTCATATATACCATCACTAAATGAGGCATCATCAGGAAGCATTGGTTTGATAACACAGACACTATGCACTTCTGTTCCAAACCACCACCTCCAAAATACATGCAAACGTGCATAGTTTTACTCTCCAGAGCCAAGCAATAATCACAAAGCTACTTCTGGTGCCATTCTAGAAAGTGCATGTGTACGCCAGCAAACTGTGAGATCCCAAATGAAAAGCTAGGGCCTCCCGGGTGGCGCAACCATTCCTATCACAAAAATAATTATCTATAATAGCTGATGATGTAACCACAAAGCATAGTGACTTCAAGAGAAAAATATTTTGCAAAATCACACTGTTCAATTATGAAGTTACAAAAGATCTTTTGAATTCTCTTCTCTGGGTCAAATACAAGTGAAAGTTTGCCTAGAATAGTTCGGATGAAGTTTATTTATTAGCAAGAACAAGTATATCAGTAGTTCTCAAATCATACAGCAAGAAAATAATACTTTCTGTTAAGTTGTAAGGAATATGAGTGGTGTGGATATTAATGGGCATGATACCAACACCTCCGTGGCATCATCACCCTCACTCATCTACTCTGTTGACTGTGCACGAGACGGAATTTCAGTTGTAATATTGGGTAAGGCTGTGGGTTATGCAATTCTCTCCTACTCCTTGGTGCACAGTGGCCCAACTTTTGCCGATATACCATTTAGAGCTATGGCAATACAGAAATGACTATATTGCCTGACATTTCTGCTAAATTCTTAGAGGTATTTTTCAAAATACAGGATCAATTCATTGTGGTGTGGTTTGAGATTCCACTGGTATAAAAGTCTTCTGAGTATTTCCTTTTCTGAAGATCAAATGCACTTTTTCCATTTGCTCTTTACTGCAAACAGTGGCAAGAATAAACCTAGAAAAAGGCTATATCATAAATGCAGAGCTGCTAATCAGGAGTTTGGAATTTGACTATGGTTTATTCACTGACTCACCTGACTTATATAGAAGCAAGTGTGTACCAAATTGCAACTGATCCAAAGCACCAAAATTAAACTCATAGTGTAAAACATGATCATTCACACTAGAATGTCAAAATCAAGATGATTATGCCATTGAGTGAGAGAGGAACTCACAAAATCTTTGGTATGGTAAACTGAGTCAGATGCTGCCTACTCAGCCAGCCCTATGGCATAGCCATAGTCTACAGACATTCCTCCTACAAAAGTGAGTAACTAATTACAAAGTGATTGACTAAGCAGAGAAAGCAATATGCGCTAGCCCACAGCTCACAGTTTTAATGCAGCTGGCAATCTCAAAACTACCAACCAGATAGAGAGGGAAAGACTGCATTTTTCTTTAAGCTCCCAGGGCCATGAACAGTTCTGTGTAGGGTCAGGGGGACAAAGGAGGCAAAAAGGTTTCTGGATATACAAACAGACTTAAGTTTGATCAGCCAATTTATGACTTTCACTTGCAGTGACAAAATAAACATACAGCTGAATTTTTATAAATAATTTTGAATTTTGCTGCTGAAAATCGGAATCTCTCTGGACTCATATCTTCTTTCCTCTTTTATTTTTTTTAAAAAAAGTTAAAACTCTTTCATTACCATGGGACACTTTTTACTACTATGAGCCATAAATCAGCATGCTGGAGTCAACTGAATTATATATTCTTTTCTTCCACTCTGCTAGATATACTCTTACTTAGATACTCCCCTCCTGAGAACCCCTATCTTTTGGAAAGTACCACCCCAGCACATAACCTATCAAGAATGGCCATTCCCGGCTTCCCCTGGTGGCACAGCGGTTGAGCGCTGGGCTGCAAAGCTGCCTGCAGCCTCTGCAGAGCCAGTTTGATCCCCGGCCACCGGAGAGGGTCCCACATGGCGTGCAGACCTCTCCTGCCACCCGCTGCTCCCCTCAGCAGTGTACTTCATCACTCTGCCTGCTCTGTTCCCCGCTCTGGCTCTGGTGAATTCTCTCACCCTCCCGCGCTTCTGACTGTACCCAGTGCTTGTATAAATAAATAAATAAATCTTTAAAAAAATAAAATAAAATAAAAAACAAATAAAATCTTAAAAAAAAAAAGAATAGCCATTCCGATCACTATTTTATATATTATCTAGAGTTAACCACCTCCTTAACTAAATACCCCCTTTAAAATGTTCCTACCACACATCTGGCTGTAAGCTCTTTCTAATACCCTATTCATCCCTCTAATATTTTTTTCAATGAAAAATCACCCATCACAATACTTTTTCTTCTTTAAAGTCTACTATCATAATTCCTTAAACTGATCCTCTCAAGAATCCCAGTAATGAGTTCCAGTGAACTATTCCAAGTCACCATGGTTTTGCGTTCACACTTGGAGTTCACAAAGTAACAGAATAACTTCATCTCCTACCCTTGCCACAACAACTGTCATGAGGACACAGTCAAAATCCAGAAATCCTCACCACATTCACACACTTGAAAGCCCTCATCGACATGGCAAAGAATTTACAAAATGAAAGCAGGCAGGTCCAAGTGAAAAGTCCAAGTCTGTGTGAAGTGGAGTTGGGGGTCAGCTGGAAAGGGGGAGCCCCTGCTCAGTGCCAGCCCATCAGCTGCCAGGCACAGACACAGGTCGACTGTGTCAGGGTTTAAATGTTTCACGTCCTGTCACATGAAATTTTTCAATCTTTATAGTATCATTTCTTAAAAAACACAATCAAATGATACATGTCTATGGAAAAAAATCCACTGAGATGCCCATTTTCTAATTTCATCCATAATTTACTGCCAGTCATGGTTGCAATTGATCCTATTCCCTGCTTCTTGGTAATATTAATAATCCACAGTAAGTATTAAAAAGGATAACTTCACACATCAGAAAAAGAATCCTACCTAGCATAGTCTCAATACAAAAGAAATCTATTATTACAATCAAAAAATCTGAATGAAACTAAAAACAATCCATAACTAGCAAAGTGACTTCTGCCACCTGCTATTATTACTACTGCCACCACTTACTGAACAGTTATCATGTGCCAAGAATTCTGCTAAACACTTTATATATACTCTTTTTCTTCCTTAGTCTTATTCAACATACACCATTCAGCAAGATCTTTCAAAAATATGATCAGGTATCCCCTTCCTATTTAAAATTCTCCACTGGTTTCCCACTGCTCTTAGGATAAAATACAAACATCGTACCATGGCTTAACCATGATTTGACCCCAGCCCTCTCTCCACCCTCTTGCCAGCACTCAACCCTTCACACAGTCCCAACCCCACAACCTCTAGCTACCCCACAGATAAATAAATGATGTCTCTTCTGACTTCCAGACTTATGCTCATTGGAGCCTTTGTCTAAAAGCTTCTTCAGGCTTCTGCCTGGCTGACCTCTTCTCATAGGTCAAGTCTCAGTTCAGTATTTCCTCCACCAAGAGAATTTCCCTCACCAGTCGACTGCCTATGGCTTTAATATCACCCTATTTTTTTTCTCTATCATTTATCGGTGCTAAATTACCACTCATTGAAGTTACTCTAACCAATCATTAGTTTCTTTCATTATCTGCCTCCAATAGGGTGGAAGCTACCCACAGCAAAGCACCTTGTCAGGCTAGTTCAAAAGCAATGTTCCAAACACCTAGAAACTAAGCCCCTGACTAAAAAGTCAACCATTAAATGAAAAGACACCCTCTAGGACAGGGTAAAGTCATATTCCACTCTTATCTCAAAAAAAGAAAGTACTCCATTGGACCTTTTAAAAGTCCAAATATTGATCAGGTTTTAGAATTTTTTTTCCCCTTAAAGAATTATACTGTTAATATGACACAAGATAATATAATTTTGATCAGGAAATAAAATGGTGAATGATTGAGTTTAGAACCTTTTTTCTAGATAACTTACCTCTTTCTCCCTTTCATAATCTTCCTTGTCATATTCTTCATCTTCATTTTGTGTCTGCAGTGCTACACTGCCAAAGTCTAATGACATGGTTCTCCTGTGGAAAGAGAAAGATGCTTGGTTTTTACATACCCAGAAAGTCTCCCCTGACTAAACTACACAAGAGATATTAGATACAAAATGACAACAGCAGCCGGAGAGAAACATGTGTGATTCACAAATGAATTACAAACACAATCCTAAATATAAAGAGAGTTCTTACAAATCAAGAGTGGTTCAGAAAAAACAACATGACTAAAATTCACAGAAAAGAAAAAACGCAATAGTTAATGGTTAGAAATTTCCAGTGGTCTGGAAACTGAAACATAAAACAGTACAACTTTCAGCTACACAAAAAATATGACAATAATAATAAGAAAGTAGAAATGTGCCAAAACATAAAAATTTTCAGACTAAGCTCAAAGTTTCAAAGTTGCTATATTAAATATGGCACAGGTTGTGTCCTCCACAATTTGCTTCATCCTTTGAATATCAAAAAAGCAAATTTCACGCATTACAAGAAAGCCTCTAAATCCTCAGGTCTAATAATTGCTACTCAAAAGCCATTTCTAATCTGGTAAATGCCATGTAGCACCAACAAGAATATAAGTGAATCAGGGTCTAGCACGAAAATATTCAGGAAAAACAGAAGTGAAGGCTGGGAAGCTTTACCACTGAGGTTCCAATTCCAAAAACAACAGAAAGACTTCCCTGGAGAATGGTAACCGCTGTGGCAGAAAGAGCAACAGGAGATGAATTTTCAAGTACTTACCGTCTAAAGGCAGCTGCTGATTTGAATTATACTTGGAGATTCTGACACTGCACATAAACTACCCAGAATTTCAAAGCTCTCAACAATCCTGATGAAAAGGTGGAAGGCGTCATCAATTCCCAGGCCCAATGTTGTCCACCATCAGCCTGCTCTGCTGCAGACCAATGAAATAAGCTCTGACATGAGCCTGGGTCACAGCTCATTCACTACACTCTCCAGACTCCAAAAAGTCAGTAAATTGGAAGTGAAATGGGAAGCACAGATCCAGCAATCCAAAGGCATTTTACTATAAAGATTTTAGCCCCCTATTGTTAACAGTTGAGAACTATGATCACAAATTTTTCTATAAGCCAATGGCTCTGCGGCGGAAAGATATTCCATTTCACTGAAACTAAGGCACCCTTGATTGTATGACTCAGTTAAACTAACACATCATTAATTTTAAAATGCGACCTCACTATGCAGATGTGAAGATGGGGAAAGAAAACAAGCACTTTTGAATAGATGAAATATGGCATTACAGATTAACACAAATACAAACTTCAACGCTGAAAATCCTCATGTAGCAAGTTTGTGTTTCTGGTTTTCAAGGACTAAGTTACATTTCTTGGCAAAATTCTTATTTACAGGCCACCTCTTTATATTTCCCTCTCTGGTACATACACCCAACTCATCCCTTTCAATTCATATCAATTGAAACTCCTCACATCAGCAGAAACCCTTCCTGCCTCTGCTTCATAAACCAGACCTACTCCTTTTTGTTCTCATGCGAGGGGGAACAGAAGGACATGTGTACTGACAGGGGAAACATATAAGCCTGGGGACTGTAACCTTCTCTCCAGCCTGCCATGTAGGAACCCTCCTGTATACCAGCTAAGACAGAGATCTGCATATGGAAAGCCCATAATGTAACTGAAGCAGTAAAGGAAACACAAACAGCTGTAGGGTTTTTTCACCACCACAAGTGAATGTCAAGCCTACAGAACCTATAAATCACAAACATACTAACCCATTAAAACCCTAGCTCCTTAAAAGAGATGAGATTGAACTGGAACATATGATATCCTTGAATTTTCCAGTCACAAAACTGTTCCTGAAGCTTCTGCTTCTTAGAGTTTACTTCATGTCTTCTTCATTTTATCTGTTATGCCAGAATATAGAATGGGAGTTCATTTCACCTTTAAGTAAGAGAAGGGAGGTTTTATTTTCCTAATCCTTCACTAACCTGTCATCAATTTTTGTTGAATATTGAAAAAGAACATTAAGATTTACAAAAGTCATTTGCTAAATACAACTATTTTTAAAAACTTTTTCTCAAATAGAGATTAATGAGCTATACAAGGTATTTGCTTTAAAGAAAAATCTTAAAAATATATCTGAAAAGACCAAAATCTCTCTCCACAAGGGGAAAAAAGGTACAACTAAGTTTTCCTTCTGAAAAGTGCTAAGTACCAGAACCTCAGTAATAAACTATTTTAGTCATAAAGGGAAATTGAATAAACTGACTATGGTTTAAAAAAATTAAAAAGGTAAAGACGGTAAACTTCTACTAATACTATTAAAGGTTGTTCTGAAAAAAAAGTTAAAATTTTAAAAACTAAAAAGATAATATGTCTTCTAACTAGAATTTAAAATAAAAACAAATGCTTTTTTTTTTAACTTGTTAGTCACAACTAATTACCACCGCTGTTAGGAACTTTAATATTCAGAACTGAAGAGACTGTTTTAGAAAAAATAAAGCAAGATCATAAATGCAGAAGTCAGACATTAAAAAAACTGTCAGAAATTTAACAAAACAAAAAATTTGTAAATGACAAATATCATTAACAAGTCAAATATTATATGTGGAAAAATATACTAACAAAGTCAAAATGAAATAAAAAAAATTTGCAAAAACAATACAGTCCCAATTTTCACAAAGAAGAAATGAGAAAAAGGAAGATCCAATTTGAAAATAGGCAACAGGGCCTCCCTGGTGGTGCAAGGGGTTAAGACGCATCCTATGAGGCTGTCCGCAGCCACTGCAGCATGAGCTCAATCCCCAGCCAAGGAGCTACCCACATGGCAGAGCAGACCTCTCCTGACTCGTCCACTGCTCCCCTCAGCAGTGTATTTCTGTTAATCTGCCTGTTCTGTTCCCCACTTTGTCTCTTGTGAATCCTCTCACCTCCCGCACCTCTGGCCTGTACCCCAGTTTTTGTATGCATAAATAAAATAAACCTTTAAAAATAAATAAATAAATAAAGATGGGCAACAGACATGATTCATTTTAAAAAAGAAATGCTCAACTTGAAAAGATGTCTAAGCTCTGAAAAACAGTGTCATGGAAACAATGAAATATGATTTTCAGTCACTATATTAAAAAAAAATTAAAGACCCAGTGGTGGAAACTGGGTATTTGCTAGGAAACAGGCATCCTCACAAAGCATGGACTGCAAATTACCACCTTAAAAATTATCAATATGAATACACCGAAAAACGTTTGCCCTGGTAAAAGGACTTGTGAATAAATGTTGTAATACTGTGCTAGTAATAAAAATATTTCTATTTATTATTAAGTAAAAATAATTATCCTTATGTTTATTGATTGATCATTTAAAAAAATCAAGTTGCAAAAGTATACTGTGTGCTTTTTTTTCCAAAAAGTAACAAGCTGGTTAATACTTTCTTCCCAGATAAAATTTCTTGAACCTATTAACAAGATTATGTTGCGTCCTTCCCTTACACTCAGATCAGAAGGGCTCAGACTGCACTCATTTTGTTGTCTTGGTTGTTTCCTTTGCCCTCCTTGCAGTGAGAAGAAAACCAATGGCTGTTTAGTTAACATTAAAGAGCAAAATTTGCATTATTTCTGCCTTATCTACTAGACTATAAACATGCTGAACGCAGAATTAAACTGTACCTCTCATCCTTTGTACATAGTAGGCACACAACAAATGTGTTGAATGAATGTGATGTATTCAAGTTACCCTACAGGGATTCATTATTTCAATAAAATTCTACACACATTTTCTGCCATGTTTTATCCTAAAAGTATCTAAAACATGTTACCACCTTAGGGGAAACAGTGATAAAATTAATAGTTACAGTGACAATTTGTCATAAATTCTGTAACAGAGGAAAGTACAAACACAAATTAAATCTGCCTGGTGGGGGGGATAGATAAATAATAATTCTGCCTAAGAAGAAAGGAAGACTGAGAGAAGTTACACTTGAAAACTTTGGACTAGAAATAGAGCTTAAAGGGCATAGTGCAGGTGGGAGTAGTTGGTTAGGATTGAGAATACTCATTTGAGGCAAGCTGGGCTCAATTCTGACTCTTCTAGCTGTGCAACCTTAAGCAAATTGTTTCCATTGCTTCATTAATCAAACGAGGATAAAAGAAGTATCAACCTCCTAGATTAGTTATAACTAATAGTATTAGTTATAATACTATCAGTTATTAGTATCCTCATAACTAATTCAGGGATAATGCATACAAAAGTGCTTGGCACTGAGTATATACTTCGGTTTCATTATTATTGCCAGCTTAGGTAAAGGAATAAAGAACATTCAGTGTATTTGAGAAAAGGTGAATGTCCTGCCTGTGAGAAATCTCACTTTGAGAAATCTGATGTCAAATAATGCAGTCTCTTCCAGGACAAAAATACCATCTCCTTCACAACGCCCTCCCAATCCTGTTCTCCCATGAAATTTGTCCTTCTACAAAGGATTATATTATATTTTAGATTATATTTAGATTATAATTATATTTCTTATGGTTTCACGTCAGCCTCTCTTATTGAGTTGTAAACATACACATGTCTAGGGAGGACCTATAAACCATTACGCATTGTTCAGGATATGGAGAAATTCAGCTTAAATCAAGCAGACCTCTCCTGACTCCCCCGCTGCTCCCCTCAGCAGTGTATTTCAGTCAGTCTGCCTGTTCTGCTCCCTGCTCTGTCTGGTGACTCCTCTCACCCCCCACACTTCTGGCCTGTACCCCAGTTCTTGCATGCATAGTCTTTAAAAAAAAAAGATTCAAATACGTGATTGTAAAAGAGAAACCTGCCACAAGACCGTTTCTAAGTGCCCTAGATGTTAGTAAACTCTACTTAGTTGCTTACATGCTATCTTCACTTCTGGAATGGAAATATCTAGAGTATAATATGCAGCTTGAGACTTGCAAGACCAGACTCAGGCCTATTCATTCACTCAACAATTTCTTTACCAAGTACTGTTCGAGATACGAAGTTTAGCAGGACTTGGAGGAGGGAAAAAAAAATAGACGCATCAACCAATGCCCATAACCTTGTCATCAGGGCTAATGACAGCAGTTTGGACAAAATGAATCACAACGCCCCAGGGATGGAGCGAGGAGGCTCCCAGAGGTCAAATGAATGAATAAATCGGTGGCCTTACCAAGGCCCTCTGCTAGGCGTCCACTACAGCACAACGAACAGAACGCGCGAGAGGGAAAGTGCACGGAGCCCAGGCCGCTGGGGGCTGCGGGCTTGGGGTGTCAGCATCACCCGCCCCCATCAGCACACGTGTGCAAAGCACCCACTGTGAGCCAGGCGGCGCCAGGGTGACCACGGCGAGGCCCCCTGGGGCAAGGGTCAGGGCTACCCCAGCTCCTGCAACATGTCACCTCTAAGCAGCGTCTTGGTGGTGTGTCTTTGACACTTCAAAGTTAAAAGTCGAGCCCCGGGGCCTCCCTAGTGGCGAAAAGAGTTAAGCACTGCACGATGAAGCCATCTGCAGCCTCTGCAGCACGAGTTCGATCCCCGCCCGGCCGGGAGCTACCCCCACGGCGAGGCGGACCTCTCCTGTCTCGTCCACTGCTCCCTTCAGCGGTGTATTTCGATTGGTCTGCCTGTTCTGCTCCCCACTCCGTCTCTGGTGAATCCTCTCACCCCCCGCATCTCTGGCCTGTACCCCAGCTCTTGCATGCATAAATTAAAAAAAAAAAGTCAGCCCCGCAACCTGCAGGCAATCCACCACCCGGGATTTGAAGAGGGGGCAAGCCAGCCTTGCGGGAAGCCTCAGCCAGGATTCTGAGGATCCCACACCCCTCCAGCCCGAGCCTCGAGCCCAGCGGCGAAGCGAAACTCACCGGAGACTCCAGAGGCCGTCCCCGCGGGGAAGCCCCGGCCCCGGCCCCGCACCCGCTTCCAGCAAAGCCCCTTACCCGGACGCTCACCCGCCAGCAACTTCCTGGTCACAACCAAACACAGCCCTAGAGCGCTTGAGGAACAGCCCCGTGCTCCAATCGCCGACCAGAGGTTCGCGCGGTGGGCGGGGCGTAAGGGCTTCGGCCGGGACGTAGAGGCGGAGCTCTGCGGCTTCCTCAAGCTTGGTTGAGAAGTCCTCCCGCAGTTGCAAATGCACGACTGTTTGAAAGCTGGCGCCAGAGGTGGCGGGAAACTCCTCCTTTGCACCCATTGGTGGGTCTGGAAGCCAATTACTGAAGACTGAACTGGAGAGGGTGGGGTCATCGATTGCCTAGAAACGCCCCGGCGTTCCCTGAAACCCTGGTGCTGGAGACTGATCCAGTGACCCTTTAGGCTCCTACCCCAGGGTCCCCTTGCTGGTTAGTCCCAAATCCCTGTTCTCAACTGCAGCACACAGAATCTCTCCCTTTTCCCACAGAACCCTTACCTTGGAGATTTTTTGCATTTGCCTTTCTGATTCTCTAAGCTGCCTGCTTCCCCATCACCTAGCAGCCTCAGATGTTGCTTTACTTTGTCTTCTTGCTTATTAGGTCCTGCCTTGTTTTAATCTCTGTTTCTTTCACGGATGATGAGAGTGCAGGTTTTACCACGTTTATTCACTTCTTAGGATTTCCTCCAGTGTGAATGATCTTGTCACAGGTATATGTTAACCTTTCAGCTGCACTGACGGGGTATGTTAACCTTTAAGACAGCACTGCTCAGTTTGCAGTAAAAGCCCTTTGCTTCCTTGTAAAAGTGTTAGAGTCAAAATAAGGGGGGGAATTTTATGGGGAATATATCCAAGATGAAAATGCATACATGGTGCAAAAATGAAAAATGATGTAAAAATATATATAATAAAATAATAATAATTTTTTTTAAAGTGTTCGAGTGAGTATCAAGGACAGCGGCAGGTCCACATTATCCCTTTAACCCTTCCTCTTATATACTAAAATGGAATAAAATCGTTGTTCAGTTTCTTC